ATACTAGTAAAGTACTAGTAGTTGATATCAACAGGCGCCCGTATGAGATTCGTTCTTCTAATCGTATGTTGCAGTTGCATGTATAAACTTTTGCAGTATGATCAGCATTCGGAAGGCGGCGTTTTATGCATTTACCCCGACCGTAGGAAGATTGCACCTTTGTATAGATATCTGCCAATACGGTGCACCAGGTGTGAGAACTGTTGTTATACACAATCCCCCATGCAATAACGTTACATGTACTAGATAATGATCTATTTATTGGGAAAAAGCTTATTGGGAAAAAACTGACTATGAATGATCTACGGTAGGATTTTAAAGTTGCTTCCCCGGGCCCGACTTATGCATGTGCATTTTGTCAATTGTGTAAAGTTAAATCTAATTGTTCTCGCACTTGCATGATATATTTAGCGACAATTTTCCCTATGATTACAGTATCCAAGCAAGTCCTCAAACTGACATTTATTTGTTTCAAAAGCTGGCACGCCTAAGCTACCACGTGACTCGCACCAGCCAATAGAATGGCTGGAAACCGGAGTGCCTGAAGTTTTAACAGCAAAGTTGCGAGGACAAGCGTCATTTACCAACAATCAATTGACGGAACTGGAGTATTGTGTTATAATACCCGCGCTCCTTGGTAACCAACTCCAACTAAGAAAACACGGGGTCACACTCGGTCAGGCCTAGCGCCTGCAGACCACATACACACATCTGTTCTTACCCCCACTTGTGGCGTAGCTCCCTTGTTTAAGAAGGACGATTTCTACCCAGACTTTCCTGCGTTGTGCTTTCTATCTGCTACTGGCGTGTTGCAAAATTTAAGGTAAGTAGAAGCTTTTGGCATGAAGAGAAAAATTTTGAAAGTTAAGGTTATTCTTCTAGATTATATGTTCTTGTGCAAGCATGTCTTTCAGGCGTACAGGTACATGTACTACAGTATCCATGAACACAGGTTTAACTTGAAGTTCAAAGAACGTTTTAAAAATTTGACAATGGAGGGAATTTTTGTAGCATTACGCATAGCAACAGCTGGGTATGTTTTCTGCGTCAAGGTTGCTTCAGGTTGTTAAAGATATTGTATTTGAATAGACCCAGGCAACCATTGGCGTTGTTGTTTTTTCCAAAGGTCGTGAGAATGAAGTAAAATGCAGGTGTTGCGCCGAATGTTCAAATATAATGTGCTGTAATGAATTTGCACGCATACAACGATAATTTCAAACGTCATTGCCAATGGCCAATAAATAATAATTCTCTTACGATGTGCATATGAATACGTGCCATGGCTGTCAATAAGAATATAAGTTTCAAAATAAAGGCTTAAGTTGTCCCGTATGTTGAAATATAATGTGGTGTAATGAATTTGCACGGATGCAGCAATAATTTCAAACGTCATTGCCAATGGCCAAATAATAAACGTTCATTGTACAAAAATATTCTCTTACGATGTGTATGTGAATACGTGCCATAGCTATCAATAAGAGTATGTTATGAGTTTCAGAATGAATTTGAAGGCTTTGGTTGTCCCGTAGTTGTAAAGATTTCTCACTGTATGTTTGAAACATCGCCTGATATTACGACTGGTTGCCAGGCCTCCGGACCAATCAAAGACGTCTTAATCTGGCGCGCCAACAATACCCGATGTCAGAGAACACTTAATGAGTCAATAGGTCAGTTTGAGAAGTTGGCCCTTTTTTGTTCCACCGGGAGTTACGGTTGAAGTACTGTTGTCAAGGAACACTAATCTCCAAGCAGATCGTCAAGGGGCAATTTCTAAGCCAATTGGAAACTCACTATCCAGATGTGCCTGTCTTAAATCTTTTTCGACGGTTTCTTTTGTCACAACCTAAAAATTACATCTACATCGACATAAAAATCACACGATTCCATGGCCTTCTATGAATGGCTGTTTCGAAGTTCGTCGTATAAGGGTGCTGTACGTATTCAAAACAAAACTTCAAAACCGTTCTAGAGAGTTCGTGCTTGCCGTTTTTGTAGTCTAAAGCAACATATGCTGACCTGTGGCACAGAAGTGGTCGCTAAGCGCAAAAGTAAACAAAGGCAGCATGAAGCTAAGGAGATTAATGGCAACCTACGACTACGGGACCATAGAAAAGAAAAATGACTTTTCACCCTACAGTAAATAAAAAAGTCATTCTCATACAGAAAAAACATAACGAAATAACACCTCCGGACAGCTATCACCAGTGTTTTATTGTTTGATCGATACTTTATTGGCATTTTTTACTAGTAAAGTTCATTTCAATTATTTTCTAATCAGGGGTTTTAATCAGAAGCAGCAAAAATGTTATAAAGAAGTTAACTATGTGTAATTTTTTCTTCTCTTTTCAGCATGTCTTCTGACGAAGAGTACGAGTCCGAATATTACCGAGAGGACGTCGACTCCCAGAGAGACAGTAGTAGTGACTCCCCCGATGAAGAAAAGAGGCAACGAAGGAGAAAAAGAACGAAAGAACAGAAAAGGGATGAGAAGGAGAAGTCTGAGGTAGATGTTGAGGCTATAAAGGAGTTCTGTCAGGTGGTGGAGGCGGGAGATGTGGAGAAGATCGGAGAATGTCTGGATAAGAACGACATCGACATCGACGGTTTTTACTTCAGGTAAGTCGGGCGGCTTAAAAACACAGGTGACGTCACTGGGAGGTTCTATTCGTACGTTTTAGGGGTGCACCGTGTACAAGTTGGTTTTTGTGAAGCTTTACCGCCTTACGTTGTTTGCTCGAACGAAAAATTTGGTTTTTATATTTTTCTCAATAAACGCTGACTTTCGACGTTGTTTATACTAGCTTTATTGGAACATAAGTTTGCCCCCCCCCCTCCCAAAAAAGAGTTTGTTTAATACATGAGAATGTCATCAGCCAAGATGACTGTCTCGTTTTTTTTTTACTTTTCTTTACTGTGTGCTTAGATTTACACTCTAACAAAATGTACTGCTTTCTTTTCATGTCTTTTGTGGTGTGAAGTGAAGGAAAGTTTACGGCACTTCATCTAGCGACAGACAACGGTACTGCAGACGTGATTCAGTTCCTGATCGACAAGAAGGCAGGTGTGAACATCGCGTCCAGGGTAAGTCTCTCCCAGTTAGTTTGTCAATAAATGACTCATTTTTCGCAAAGTATTCTCTTAGCGTACATTTGTTTCTTCCAGAAACTCAAAGAGATGTCAAAAACAAAGTCATCGATGACTTCATAGCTTCCTATCGAACAAGAGAATTGCTTGTAAAATGTTTCCATGGCTTCCTGTACACCATTGCATAGGCTTGCCCTCACTCAGTCTCAGAAGATATGTGACTGTTTCTTATACATTAGAGCTCCTTTGCGGACTATCCATTATTTATTTTTCTGAATTCATGCCATTTCGTTGTATGTTCTTAACGTTGAATTATTGTAGCCGCTAACAACGAGCGGTTTGTTATCGAGTTCACAAACGATAGCCGAGACCTAGCTAGTGCTATAGTAACAGTGCATGGCGTAACGTACATTGTACATGTACGTATAGAGTATTAGTCCTAAGCTTTCAAAGAAGTCGGAACTCTATTGTCTAACGAAGTATCCCTACGTACATACTGTACTGGCTTAGAAAATGATTTGGTATGATAACTGTGTCGGCCGGTGTGGCTAACGCGCATATATGGTTCATAAGTATATTTTGTGTTAACGTTACCATGTACCCGGTGTATGCGGTGTGTTGTACCTGGCGCGTTACCGTGACGTGTTTACGTTGCTACCTGGTGTGTCACAGGTGTCTTCCTCTAATGCATGGCGTTGTTTTGAGAAGAAAGGTGGTTCTTTGTTCAACACGGTCGTACATTAGGCGTGCAGACTGCAGGGCTTGGTACGGGTCACCAGGAAATATGTAGACATTATGGGAAACATCTAGTGCGGGTTGAATAACTAATATACGTGTCCATAATATCACCAGGGTCCATAATATCGCCACCTTGAGAAATAGTATGCTTTAAGATATTTTTACTGCAACATACTTTTGGTATGCACTCCTGCACACCTCAAATGTACATACCTAGGGTATGTTGCAGTAAAAATATCTTAAAGCACACTATTTCTCAAGGTGGCGATATTATGGACCCTGGTGATATTATGGACACGTATTTTTCTTCTTCTTCTTCTTCTTCTTCTTCTTGAGTACTCTCTAACCACCCCTACTGGGGTATCACTGAGGAGGGGGGGGGGTGGCGACGGACTATGGCTGCGCGGCCAGAAGCCCGGCCTTGAAGGCCTCCACTGTCTGGGCTTTTACAAGCTGGCCCGGTAACTTGTTCCACTCATTTATCGTTCTTGGAAAAAAGAAAATCTAAAACAGTCTGTTTTGGCAGGTATTGCTTGAAACTTATATTCATGACTTCCTCTGGTACGCCTATGGGCAGGTTTGAGGTGATTGTTCCATTTGAATATTAATATGTCCATGAGCAATTTTATATAAAGATATCAAGCGAGCGGTTCTCCTTCTGTCAACAAGTAACGGCCACTGGAGGCGCTTTGGCATGTCAGAAACACTGCTGGTATAGTCATAATCACTAACAGCCATTCGCGCCGCCCTTCGTTGGACTCGCTCCAACGCCTGGGAACCACCGATGGTGTGGGGATCCCATACAGCCGCACAGTACTCCAGGTGTGGGCGTACAAGTGTTCTGTAGCATGTAGATTTGACACGAAGAGGACAGTGCGAAAGGTTACGGCGGATGACTGCCAGTATCCTATTAGCTCTACCAGTATTTTAACCACGAAACGTCTGACCGTTTCCGAATCATATCCAGTTGCTGGGGTAACTGTTTCTTTTGGCGTAAATAACCACTAAGTTCTTATAAAACATCTTTTTTTCACTATTGTGAGTTCATAGGTTAAAACTTAAGGATTTTACGTACTGATTTTCAGGAAATTACGGACATGAATTAAGATAGGGAAAATTGTTTTGTGAAGCTAGAACAGCCTAACGTGCAAGCAAGCCCTGACCTCGACCTTTTCTGTCAGAAACATTTCGGTTCCTCTATATTAGCAAATCCCAGTGGCAGTATGGAACTATGGAAAACCGCACTGAGACTGTTTTCTTTTAACTTCTACTTAGTATCTCAGTGTAGAATCTAAATCTGCGGTTTCGCTGCCATATGTTGGCGTAAGGTGTAATTTTCTGTTAAAACCAAGAAGTTTTACCCTTCATTTTTGTCCTTGGTCGACCTTTTGGATACAATTTGCTTGGTATTGGGAGTGTGAACATATTGACTGCGTCTTGACAGATCTAGAGTAGGGCTCAAAAAGGTTTCTGAGGACGCGGCATTATTAAGGACCGCTTGATACATGTTTGGTCAAGAAAGAATTGATATGCATGCATTATTAAATACCAGGCACTCTGATTCGTTTGTTTGCGAATGATTAAGAAGCGGGGCTTATCAATTATTCATCACACGCTTGTCTCTATCTGGATTTTCTATTTCAAAAGAGTAGATTGACGTGTTCTTAAGGCTTTGATGAAGATACGCAGAAGCCTTGCAATGGGTTTCTTGATGCTCAAGGGTTGCACTAACAGACAAGGAAGTGCTCAGTGACTCGGGTCGAGACCAAAGGGGAAACTTACAGTTTTTAAGTTCCTTTCGTGCTGAGCCACTTTGCAAATGGACTACATGTAAATAAGGGTGTTGTCCTAACTGTATTACAATAACACAACATAGATCTGGAGAGTAGAAGGAGAGAAGGCTATGGTGGTCTATGTAAAACAAGTAAGAATTGTACATTGCGGCAAGTGTAGTCATATTGCATGCTTATATTCTTAAAAATTAGTTTTGCCTCTCTTTAAAGTTTTTCTTCTTCTTTGGTTTCGGACAGAATCCGGTTCCGGAAAAGGCGGACTATCCGTTGAACCTGGTGACGTCAGACGGCCCTATCGGAGCCACGCCCCTGCACCTCGCCGTTCGGTACGGAGACGAGGCTCACCTGGAAGCGGCAGACATTCTCATAGAGAACGGAGCAAACGTCAACGCAAGGGACAAGGTATTAAAGTCCGATTCCTTGTGTTGGGAATTTTAACTTAAATTTCCTGCATATTAGGTACGGAAAAAGTTACGCCAGGATTTAAGCGCATCGTAGATTCTCTACTTATATACGGAACGAAAGTACATTTTACGGATACCGAAAACACTTCCCAGATGTCTGAAACCGATTTCTTGTTAATCTTGTCTTTGACTTTAAGTTTGGGATGTATGAGAACTACTGAGAGAAATGTTCATTTTGTTTTTCTCTTACTTTCAGAACTGGGACACTCCGCTGCACCAGGCTACTTACCACGGAAATAACAAAGCTGCACGGCTATTGGTGGAGGCTGGAGCAGGATTGGATAACAAGAACAAGGTGAGCTGTCAATCAATCATCCTATCAACCAATCAACCACTTTTTCAGTTAATCAGTCAATTAACCAGTCAACCAACCAACCAACCAACCAACCAACCAACCAACCAACCAACCAACCAACCAACCAACCAACCAGCCAGCCAGCCAGCCAGCAGTAATAAGTTATGGATGAATAGTGTCATTCTCAACAATGATACTGAGAACTTGATAAAAGTTGGCATACGTGTAGTGTCATCTTAAGGTTGGGTACAGCTTGAGCTCATAGACTACGATAACCAAAAATTTATCCTGAGATAATCCTGCTGACCTTAACTCCTTGTCCTTACAGAAGGGGAAGCTTCCTGAGGATCTTGCCTTTGAGGAGAGCACACCTGTCGGGTGTAAGAGTCCGGAGTCAAGGAACAGTCTGCTGAGGGGCAGACAGAGGATCCTTCATATCATCAAGAGAATCAAGGTGATAAAAATGATATGTTATTATTAGGCCACAACAAGTTAATTTGTCAGTTCTTGGATAAAGAATATGCTTATCTAGAAAAAGCATCATGAAAATAAAGTCAGACTCAGTGAGGACCAGGTGTATATAATATGCCTAAACTTGTGCACTCAGTATTATGGAGTGAATGATGTACACTTGGTCAGTTATAACTTACATTGTATATTCAGGTTTTCTTCCCTGTCCTCTGCTTTTATGGTATCTTCTTGCTATATATTTCCACTGTAAAATGACTGAGAACCAAAGAATTAGATTGGTGTGGCCTATTAGTCAGCAATTATAGGAAATATTTATAATTGGTCGCAAATAATACTTCCTTCAGATGCACATTTATAATCAGCTGGGCACCAATTAACTTTGTGAGTATAGGTTCTAAATTCCTACAAAACACAGGTTAAGTATGCGGCAATGCCTAGTTACTACATGATTGTATTTGACCACTTTGAAGGATGATGATTCATCGTGCTTAATGTTGGGTAAATTTGTAACCACATTACCGGGTGCATGTGTTTGATCTTGCCTTTATTGACACAGTACTGAGTACTAAGTACACAGTATAAAAATAAATTCAAAACCTCGATTGTAAAAAGGACCACCATATTGTAGTACTTAGTCATTCTGCTGCTCAAGCTGTTAGTGTTAATCAAGGAAATATCTTATTTAGTTGCCATTTGTGGTACTTTAAGTGCCTGTGTCCTACAATACCGTGAAGCCTGCCCAGGAAGACCACTCAGGGGACCCACAAAATCTGGTCTATGTAGACAGGTGGCCAATATACTAAATATATTGTAGGTGTGATTCTGTGTCAATTGGAAAAATTATCTAAGGTTGGTACTTAAGATAATTTTTCCAATTGACACAGTGACACAAAAATTGCATGGTCACATTAGTCTATAGCCTCTACCAGGCTTCGGGAGGCGGCTGAAAAGAGTAGAAATCGGCCAAATAGAGAGATAGCATGCCAAGGGAGTTGGTCTACTGGAGCGGCAAACTGTTCTCTCCAGCACACTAACGTCCTTGGTATGCTATCTCTATCTCTCTATTTGGCCGATTTTTACTCTTTCTAGCCGCCTCCCGAAGCCTGGTAGAGGCTAACATTAGCCAGGTGATCCTTGTGTAGAGTTAGTAACTAGTACAGGTTTGACTGTATGTTTGCAAAATGATGTAGATCTGGGAGAAAAATTCACCTTTTCACTGAATCTTTAACCTCATTACTAATTAATTTTCACCCTTCTGACTGCCCAGGAAAACGAGGAGAGCGCCAGTTTTGCTCGCTCCTCCCACAGGATGCGCCGGCCTGCCAGGAGACCAATCAGGTTCAGCGATTTCCCCCAGAAATCGCCCGAGGAACTGCGCGTGTTGGAGAGACGCTTTGTTCTAGACTGTGTCGCTGTGGCCAACATATCGCAGGACTATGGGAAGGTACTGTACATCACTTTATGTTTGCGGTAGCAAAAGTTCATGGACTGAGGAAAATGGAGGCTTACAGAACCATATGCAGCAGGTGCAGCAAAAAGAAAGTCAGCGAATTATTTGTTCATGGTAATGATAGGATTGCGGTATAGTGCGGTAAGTGACCACGAATAAGTCATGATTTACAGTAAAATGTGAATAAAAACTTGACTGTACACATGTACATACACATGCACTTGTTTCTGTAAACACACAGACAATCCCATGCACAGGGCAGATATGAAGTGAGTTGTTAGTCCTTACAAGTGCAATACATAATTTTTATATACATTTGTAGTTGATACTACGCTCTGTTTGGGAGATTTGGGGCAATATTTGTTCACTACACCCACTCCCCATGAGGTTTACATTTATGTATGACTGTTATTTGTATTGACCTTTAAATGACATTTGGGTTATGATGCCTGTGGGAACATTGTGCATGTTGGAGGCTATTTGGTAACAGTTTAAAACAATGTTTATCTTCATTGATTAGATACATATACTACAGGAGATCATAAGGCAATCAGTTGTATTCTGGTGTTGTGAGCCCTATTGAAAATTCCAAACAATTTTGTTCCATTCTAGGCCAATCCAAAGATGGGTACAGCCATCCCACCCTACAATGCACAGAAGGACAAGCATGTTGAGCCTTACTTCAACTTCTATGGAGTGAAAGATGTGTTAAAGACTACAGGACAAGTTTGTACACCTTCTTTGTGGTTCAATACCCTGTGCTTTGCAATTTCTTTAGTGATAAATAGCATTTGACCAAGGACATTATATTATTTATAATATCTTTGATTTGACATACCAATAAATTAGTACATAGTAAAGATGTCGTAATATGTACTGTGTTATGTAACACAGAAAACAAACTTTTTTTCTATTCAAGTCTATTTTTTTTTTTCAGTATGGCAGAAAGAGTACCTCCATTGATGGTCCTGTCATCGACCGTTTTGTCGGTCTGGGTAAAGGGTACCAGTATCTGTCCAAGAGGAACAAGTTTGGGGCTGGTAAGGGAAACAACTTTTTTTGTGGGAGAAAATCTTTCAATACAATCTATAATTTAAGAATCACTGTTAGTCTTAGTATCATAGACCACCTTTTAATGTATCACTGGTGTTAAATATGTCAAAACTTTCCTTTCTGTAGTATTCTTGCCACAAAGGTTACAAATCACTGTTATGTCCCAAACTGGTAACATTTTGGCAATGCCTCAGGTGCAAGCCTAATAGTATACACTGGTAGTAGATGCATGTAAGAATTCTACTTATTCCACAGTAAAGTCTGGAAGTTCTACACTTAATTGTGAACATTTGGTTTTACTTGGAATTTGAATTGTTTCTGTTTGGTGTCCCCAGGACACTCCAGAGAAGCGATTGACGGCCATGGGCAGTTCATGACGGGCGTGCAGCCCATGTTTGGTTACCGTGGCCTGTACGGCTACAGACGGAACACCCCGTGGCTGAGAGGCATCCCCTCACCGTTCGGAGTCGATCCTCGGTCACCGCTGCACGCCAAAGAACGACTACCGCCCATTTACTATCGGCGTCAGGCTGGCTGGGCTGCTAGTCTGTGAAAAACTCGTGTGAACAGAGTTGTGTACTTAGTAGGAAAATGTCCAAAATAGGTCTATCCGGTTCATCTGTTGTTCCCCGTCTTCTGAGGTTTAGACGCGCTTGCACATTGATGCTGAGGCTTGAAGGTGGCCCACCATTTGCTCTGTCCTGTGGGTTCGCGTGATGTAAGTTAAGGTGGTGGAAGTCCTGCCTTATGTTGTCCATCCATCCTTTCCCTGGATGTCCTCATGGGTTTTGGTTTTTCACATCCAGTGTGAAGAGGACAAAAATTGTTAAATGTTGTGTTTATAAGGATCGTAACAAGCAACATGTACTCAATAAAGGGAAAGCAAAAGTAGCGATAGGCATATTCTTTATTGCAAAACAGACTCCATTATACAGTAGCGTTGCTGGAATGCAAAAGGCCACAAGAAATGCTCTGACATAGAACTCGTACAGATGTAAATCTACGCTGCGCTGTTCTGACTCTATGTATAGCACACAAAGTTTAGTCTAGACAAGTTCTATTTCACAGTCTCTACTCCAGAGTAGAATTGACAATAATAACTTTTCAAGAGGATTCATTTGATTTCATTTTCAGGATGGGAGGACACGTGATAAAGAAAAAGTATACATGTACATTTTAATGTATAACTATTATAACTGTCACCCCCTCTCTTAATATCCAACACAGTGTCTAGCAATACTTTGTCAGGTATGCAGCGAGTTAAGTAGCTCTAAAAATCTTGTGTGCAGTGAGGCAAACATCACAGTGTGTTGCACAGTATTATGATAAACACTGAATATAATGCCTGATCATTCTTTTCCTTGAAAATATTTTAAACTTTTTTTTGGCATCAGAACAGAATTTGAATATGTGACATAAGACTCTTTTTTCTCTACAGTGCCTTTTTCCCATTGGAAACAATGGTGAAGGCCCCTTCTTTTGAGTGTTAGCAGTAACGGTTTCCATACTATGTACTACCTGCATGTTCCTCTGCTAATTAAAACGGATATCTATATGTCTCTGTATTTTTGCTTTTTTGGCTTTGCTTTACTCCATACAATGTACATGTATTTTACCTTATAGAACAGTCCTAAATGCAACAAACATACAGAATCTCAATAAAAGGAGCAACAAATGTCTTACATGATTACAGTGCATTGGTCACTTACACATGTACACAATGTCATGTGATGTTGCATTTGAAGTTCCTCAATATTTTATGAAGAATTTGAGAGCTAGCAAAGAAACATGACATCCAATGGGGGCTGTTCTAATCACCTCCATGGAGGCAATAAGTGTAGCCCCTTCTCATTACATCCCACTTATACAGTGTGTTACACCAGATTTTGGACCAGGAATGATCGTAAAAGACTTAGTCAAGATAGACTCAGAAGAAGTGGTAGGGTTACATCAATTTTTCTCTCATCTTCAACTCCTTAGTCAATTGTCCTCAGAAATGAAAAACAGTTACTGTTAACAGCTAGGATTTTTGCTCCTACTTTCATAACATCTTTCAAAATTCTTTAAAATGCCATACATTGTGTATTTCTAATTGACACACCCTCCCCACAAAAGCACTAGATGTACATGTACAGTAGTATATATTAAATCATTCCTGGTCCTTCACAGAGATTACTTTATAGAAAAGTTAGAGCAGGTCACCAGTCTTGCACTGTCTTCATTTTCATTATTCCATACAAAAGTATATAGTATATAATTCACTGTAATCTTCTACTTCTTTTTTATCTTATACTTGCAAACAGAAGGACACTTGTGGACACTGACGGCTCAAAGTCAAATTTCGATGTCATTTGATAGTTTGGCAAATGGATATGAGAATTCTTTAATGATGCTACTTCGTAACTGTTCCTCCCAAACCCCACCTAGTATTGTGATTATGAAATCATCCTCTTAATATGATATCTCTATCATTCTATATTTTGATAAAAGACTATCCAACGTGCTTCAAACTGAAGGGATAAAGAGAGATCAAGTCAAATTGGTACATTCCATATGATTCCAAAACTGAATTTCAAAGTCATCAATATGTAGAATGTGGAGAACGCGTTTAAAAGCTTACTAAAAATTTTTAACTTGAATTCTAGGTTACCTGCATACATACAGCACATTTCTTAATTGTATCCACCACAAATGCACATACATGTACACTCTGCCCTCACATACATGTATTCTACATGATTGTACAAACACACATACTCAACCACCATATGCTCAAGTCCCCCCCACACACACATACGCAACATGCAAGCATACAAATGCACACACACACACACGCATGCATACACACATACATGTACGTAGACAGTACAGTCGCAGCTTTTTGTTCATTGACAAGCAAATATCGATTTCATAGCCAGTATAATTATCAAGAAAGGAAGTAAACTATTGCTATATAGTCTTAGATATATAACTTGTGTAGATTATTATCTCATTAAAGCAGCATAATATAAGTTTTCATGTGTAAAGGAAAACTAAAAATCTTTTCAGTGTTGATACCAACAGAAAGTGTATGAGTTCAAAATACTGTAGAGCAAATGTTGGACACCATGGTTAATTTTGTTTGAAATACAAAGCCTCAAACAAAAATACAAGAATCATGTTCAGTACATTGTCAAGCAGATTTTCAACTTTTTAAAGACGCAATAACAATTGGCACAGCCCAAAAGCAGTCACTACACTTTACAAAGTTCAATTCTGTCTGCATCATGATTTTCCAGACATGGAACATTTCAAAATTCTGCCAACACTTTTCTTGTGACCTATACTATATAATACTACATGTAAGCAAGGCATGTACATTTAGTCTTGAACCTAACAAAATTGTCTATACTTAGGTTGTCTTGAATATTGTAAAGATATGGGTATGCAGGCCACAAATATACACCACTGTCAAGTCTTCAAATTTTTAAAGTGATATCTAATAGTATGTAGAGCTGTTTAAGTTTCATGATTTTCAACACACCACATGTACAGCAGTCACAAGTCAAAAATACCTACGTTTGAAATTCTCTGGATTGAATCCCTACATATAAAATGACAGCCAAGCTGACCAAGATTTCTTGGGGTTCTTGATTCTGCCTAACATAATCGTGGTACATTTAAGCTTTACTCACACAATTTAGCACCTTTTAAGTCTTGGATAAAGGGAAAGATAATCCTATAGCCTTTTTGAGGTCACAGGGGCAGCAGGTTGTTAACCCACTGTGTTTATCATTTCAAGGTATTGGAAGGCGGAGTCCATCCCTCTCCTTCTACCACCTTTTACCTCCCCAACCGAAGTCAGGCAGTACCCACTTTACACATGGGTGGAGTGAGGAAAACATGTAAAGTGGCTTTCCCAAGGACAACGTCTAGCCAGGAATCCAGAGAATTGAACCCGCAACCTCCCGGTCTTGTGTCCACTAACCTTGCCACTCAGCCATTCAACACCACTGGGTTACATATACTGTCTTTAAAAAGTCCTGGACTATTACATGTGTATAATACACATGTATGTTGATGCCCTGTGGCCTTATAATTACAATTTTCCAGCAAAAAAAAAATTCCAATAAAACCTTGTATCTGGCATGACAGGACATCCTTATAATTAGCTAGTGCCACCAATCATCAGATGTGTGGCACACAAGTTAAAACACCAAGACTTAGACAGTCAACCAATCTGAAGCACAAAGAATTTTTCTCCTGACTTAAACATAATAGTACCTGGCAGTTCAAATAACCTGATACTGTAAGCAGAAATATTTAAAAGTATATACATTCAATTAGCCTAACAATCTCTATTGGGTAAGAAGTGCTTTGAGTGTTGTAGTATTTAATATGTAATCACAATAAGCAGTATAGGTGCTTTATTTGATGAAGTGTTATGAAATGTGAGTAGGAACAACCTGAAACAGGTTTAGAAGGGTTTGGCATCCTTGTCTACAAACCCGAGCAGTTTGTTGACGTCTATGTTGTCTGGCAGGTTATCCGAGGCGAGGTTGGGGAACTCACTCAGGAAATCCTCGGGCATGTCAGCCTCCCCACCATTGCTGGGAAAAACAAACAAACAAACAAACATACAAACAAATTATACAAGTAGCATACATGTACTACAAATAAAAACATGATACTTATTATTGGTTATATTACATTGTGTATCAATTGGCCTTGCTTTATTGTCTTAACAGTAATGTTGCAACAATTTATATTTTTGGATCTAATTCTTTGCACTAAAATAATATAGCGAAACAAAAATCAATTTTGGTGACAGCGATACGATTTGGTTGAAGTTGGCCAAAAGTCAAATAGAATTGGGTTTAGACAGTTCAATGTTGCTCTGTTAATTTCACGTGCCACTGACTATTTTAATTAGACATATTGTTTAGGTGCTGGACTTATGAGTGACATTCAATAAGTTCTCAGCCTTGCCAAAAAACTTTCTGATGTGCTACATGTATATACATGACATTGTACATGTACCATGCAAGCCTCATGCAAGCACACTACAGCACGGAGGAAATTCACCAAGTCAGGAACTTTTGACCTACAGTGTATTGCTGATGTCATATGTGCAACAAGTCACATGGGGTCCTGAGAGATAGGTCAGATACATGTAGCTAAAGAGGACTTGGTGTTTAATAAATGTAGTTGGAAATTATGGTCCAAAGTCTTGAGCTTCAGAACAGTTTCATTGTTACACATTGCAATTATCTAATACTTTGGACAAATGTTTACTTCATCTACCCATTTAGCATGTCTGAAGCATTATTTTTAGCACATTTCACATCTGACATATCTTCAAATGGCTGGAAAAGCTTGTTGAACTAATAGATATGCTATACAGAACTGTGCCTATCAGTATCTACAATGTAATTCTATGCCTGAGTGGGTTAGGTTTAGGATCAGGCACGGTGCTGGATAGTCTCTTAGAACATAAGATCTGCTCCAGGTATAGGATATCCAGAACTGTGCCTAATCCTGAATATACAGCATATGCCAGATGACAACAAGTTAAAAAAAAAGAAGTTTGAAGAAAAAAAAGACCAGCACCAGCTTACAAGCGTCATGGCACGTGGAACGGAATGGGTAGAATAAGTACCGGAAATGTAAAGGGAGTGTATTCACCCGTCAAAGTCAGCCGGTCCGCAGGCCCCCAGGATCTCCGAGTCTGGACTCATGTCGTTCATGATGGTGGGTTTCTCGGTGGGCGAGGCAGGCCCCTCCATGGGGTGGGGGGTGTTAGGGTTGTCGTATGTCATCGGGGAGGCCACGGGAGGGGGGAGGGTCTCAACCGTCGCCTTCAGGGCAGCAGGAACATAGCCGTCCGTCTGGGCAGGCTTATCTGGAAATATACATTAAAAGACATATGATAATTATATCATTATTAGTTATACGTACAATCATGTATTTATGTTTCATAATAGCAGCTAGAGAAGACAATAAAATGTTGGCCAGAGAAGACAAAAAAAGTATTTAAGGAACTCTTTTTTTTATAAAATTGGTTGAGAAGGGATATTTAATATGTTAGCTTTTTACGAAATGTTTTGCTCGATGACAAGTGAAACAAAAATTACTGTCAACCGAAATTAAATTACAAGCACAAAAACAGGATACACAAATGAAAAGGTGAAATAGTACAGACAGTCTGAGAAAGACTTTGTGACAAAGAATATGAACCATAGATCTGACATATTAAAGAAAGATTAATACAAAATTACTACATGGCTGTGTAGCAGTCAACCAATGATGATAATGACTACACTGTACATGAACACCAGCACACACCTCGGACAGGTGTGTAGTACTTGGAGAAAGCCTCGTCCTTAGGGATATCAGGGTACAGGTTGACCAGGTGAGGCAGGTCATGGATACGGTCTGCCAGAGAACGGATGCCGAAATCCCGCGTGGTGAAGGGCTGCAGGTTCCACACCTGTCTCTCACCTGGAGTACAAAATGTAGATCATACACAGGTTATCATATTAACATTTACTATAATCAGAAAAGAAATATGAGAGTTCAGACTGTGTTACACAATGGTTTATGTTTCATACAATGAGTACACAGTACACATTCCTGGCTGAGTTTGGAGACAAAACATTATAGTCCTAACTACTAACTACATGAACTCACTTGGGTTGTTTGGGTCCTGGGCTACCCATGCGATAGTGATGCCCCCTATCTCTGAATCACTGAAGCGCAGCAGAAAGGTGCCATTCTGTTTAGACATCAGCATGGTATCTCTGGCCCGGTCCTTGTTCACAAAACCTAGGATTGTCCTATTGCAAGGAAAAGGCGTTACCGTTAGTTGAGAATCAAAGTATGGTCAATGCTGTTTTTAGATCCATCAAATATAAATCATGCATGGCAGTCTTTGTTATGTAAAACAAACAAACAAACAAACAAACAAACAAACAAACAAACAGTACCCATCCTCCCATGGTCCCTTCAGGTTTTTCTTGGTCAGCTCCATGACTCCGTCAAACCACTGCCAGAATGTAAAGCTCCTGTTGGGCTGGAGAGGCTCCTGTAGACAAAACGTTCTATATGAACACTGCAGATAGAAAATGAATTTTCTACTTTCCTTCACAAAGAGAATGATTTCTATAACTATTAAAAGAAGTATTATCATTATCCCTGGGAGTGAAGTTTGTTCCTGGCTTGTCTGTTGTCTCGGTATGTTTGAGTTTGCAATGCAGTATGTTCTGCCAGAGGGTGCAGTGGAGTTCTGTATGTGAAAGGCAGTGAACTGTGCTGTCTCTGACCAAGGAGGTTTTAAATCTTGTATTCAACCTCCTTGCTCTGACAGCATTACCTTACAACTACATGTAGTTAGGCTCAATCAAACTGACCTTGTTGAACTGTGACCATGAGATCTTCATTTGTCCAAAATCCTCTGACTCAGGTGGGTCTGTAAAAGCAAGACACAAGGCAAAGCTTTATTTAGCAGGTTTAACAATAAAGATCAAATCTCTAATGCAATGCAAAGTATTTTCATTGAATAAAATATTATACTTTCTTGAGAAGGAAAGAAAACTGACTGTTGATGTTGAAGGCTTTGGCTGCCAGGTACTTCATGTTGCTGTCAGACAGAGGTCTCCCGTTGACGTACGTCCATTTACAGTTGAGAGCGCCTTCCAGCTGGCGCCACGTCACTTCTGCCGGCACGCAGAACGGGCTGCGGTTCTGTATGCAACAATTTTTCACGTTAATATCACAACTGAAGGTAGACATGTTAAGTGTCAAGCCATAACTCACTCACACACACACACACTCACACACACACACACACACACACACACACACACACACACACACACACACACTAACACTCACATTCACACTCAAACAGACTCACACTCACATTCACTTACACTGTGTTCATCTCAACAAGTCATGTACTAAGAGTGATAGAAATGAAATGATACACTTACCGCCTCTGCAAAGGCATTATCCCACAGAATGGTGGCCCAGGCATTGGAGTCCTGGTTCCCATGTACGATCACAACTATGGGTAAGGACATGGTCTGGAAATAGAAAAAAAGAAGTAAATTGCATTAATCCAACAAATGACTTGATAACCAGTTTTAAAGTCTTCGGTTTGACTCGGGGGTCGAACCCACAACCTACAGAATGCAAGGTGAACACGTTTTTTTTTTTTTTTAATTTCACACAATCATAATGAAAAAAAAAGCAGTTGAACTCCCATACCCTGACTTGGAAGACCAGTTCGTTTCCCCCCACGCTGAACTGAGACTGGAACAAGATGGTGAACTTCTCCTCACACACCGTCTCCTGGCCCTTCTTCTCCGGGCGTTTGATTCTCTTCAGTTGCTGGAAGGAACAAGAAGTGACTTGTCAAAGGAGCTTAAACGTCCAGGTAGTAAGATACACAAGATAACAGTTACTCCAGCAACTGGGTAGATTTGGAAAACAGTCAGATATTTCATGTAGCATCCACTACCTGTTATCCGTGACTGAAAGAAATCCAACAAGGATTTAGCCAAAAACTATCAACTGATACATGTATGTACATGAGGTGAAGGTACATTATGTAAACATGTACATGTACATGGATGCTATGTGCCATGGCTTACATGGTATTCTACAATATGTTCAAAGGTATACTGTTTTGTAATTACCATATTCCTGAATGTCACTCCCAGAATCCTTGTTGCCTGGTGATACTCCATAACTCCTGTGTTGTTCAGGATTTCTCCACTGTTGTCATTGCTAGAGAGAAAAACAATGTCATGAAAGTGAAAAAAATTTGATGTACAAAATATAACAGTCATTATCTAGAAGAGAAAAGATTGTAGAGGAAACTTTACATGAAAAATGTACTACTGCAGTCAACAGTACAATGAAAAATTGTTCAAAACTTCTAGAGATATTTTTCACCTATAATCAATAAATTTCCTAGTTTAATGATAATCAATTCTGTACTTACTCCTTAATCCTTTCATTTCTCAGCAGTGCTCTTGCCTGGTTTTCACTGCAGAAAAAAATGGTAAATAATTACTAAAATGAAGTTTACAATTATGGACGCAATTTCCAGACAATGGTGGAAAGTTTCTACAAATATGGTTTTGAGACAGCATACATGTACCTGATGATAGTGGCTTTCACGTTTGGTGGGTTCATGTGTACATTCAACTTCCCTCCAACCAGCAGTCTGTAGGGAAACAACAACACAACCCAAGATGCTCATCAGAAAAAACTTAGCAATCTTTTCAAATCAAAGCTATAAATAATATCTTCCTTACATTGTAATGTCACACATGTAACTATTGAGACTATGTTGTTGGTTATAAAAGTAAAAGAGTTCTACACACCTGACTGAAGCCTGGAACCTAGTCTGGGTCTTCAGGACTTGTGGAGGCTGTTTCTCAATGATAAAGGTGCTGTAAACGAAGACATGTATCAAGACAAAAAAAAATGTACCTGCACTTGTGCAGGTAACAGTAAAAAGTTCAAGGAGCACATGCTTTGTCAAGTAAAAAGAATGTGTTAGTATTTGGGTCTATCATAGGATGCCTAGGTCTGTTTCTATTTTTTGCCCTGTAACTTCATATTTTTTTCTGAAAAAATCAGAAAACCAACAAATCAAATTGCTGAGGCCTAAATAAACAGCTGCTGTCCCACCTGGTGACCAGCTGAGACAGCAGTGCTGTGATGGTCGTGCTGAGTTCAGGCAGGATGTCAGGACCTGGCTGCTGGATCGGCAGCTGCTGTCTCTGCATCTCCACACGCTTGATCTGCTGACGGTTGGTCCAGATGATCTCTGCCAGGGCTTCACACCTGACAGGGAACAAGCAATTAGACACAGCAGACTGTATAGCTGGCCAGCGCCCTCTGACAGAACATAAAGGAATTGCATGGCAGAGCTAGAGATGGGAAAATTAGAGCTGGAATATGTTAAGTGTTTTAAGGTACATGTGGAACAACAAGCAAATGAAAACCCAAGCTTTTACATACAGTACAGACAGAGTTTAACTTCTTGTTAAAAGTCATTTAATCTCGTACAAAACTAGTTTAAAAGTTGCGCAAAAGTCGTGCAAAACTAGTTTAAAAGTCTGTACTATGACAATCTATACATAATTCAGTGAGGACACATTGATGTCTCCTCCTACCCTGTATGTTTGGAAGCTTGTGAATAAATAAATAAAAAACAAACAACAAGTATGAGTAAACAAACAGCGCACCACTGCTGTAACAGGTCCAGTGTTTCCTCCTGCGGCCCACCGTTTCCCGCCAGCTGCTGCCGTCTCTTCCACTGGATCAGCTCCTCCTCCACGATCCGCTGCTGCAGCTCGCTCAGGTGGTGGAACGTCGTTCTGTGCTTCTCTGCTAGAGTCTAGGGGAACAAGATAGCAGAGATTTCAGACTTCTCTGAACTGTTTTGCGTTTTTGTAAATGCATGTATATCAGAACTGTATGATGTGGTTTAATTGGTATTTACTGCATTCTTGCACAATTATTATAATAAACTGTCAAAACAAACTGTCAAAAATCAACTGTCAACAAAGTACTCTGTACATCGTTTGTATATACATGTACAAATAAAGAACAAACAAACGGAAGCCTATTGTGTGAATGTGAGTCGGAATGTTTCCTTACAATTCTAAGGAAAATAATTTCGTCAGGTAGGTAGAACATACAGTTCTTATAACATGGGTTTGGGATTGTGTTCCACCAACTTTGGCCACATGTAGTGGCGAGAAGTAGAAGCTCTGAGGAAGATGTCTGACAGGCATCAAAACGTAAGCGGGTTAGAAACATTACCGTAAGTGTGTAGGAAGAAAACCTTCATAACCCTTACAATTCTCATCTGGAGCAGCTGATGTGCCTCTTGCTGCAGCAGCTTGTCCACCTCACCCTTCTTCTTGTTCAGGTTGGTCTCGTTCAGCACCCTGGTGGGGTCCTGCGCAGGCTGCTGCTGCACCTGCTGTAACTGGGCTGTGTGGTGGAACACAGGTGGGAGACAGTTGGCAACATTGCATTGTGTGGTGAAACATTGGTGGGAGACAGTCTGTGTGTAAGTGATTAAAGTAAGAAAAGAGTCAGAGTCAACTTTTTATACCATACTTTTCCTTACACATTCCTGGCATCCCATTACCAGGTCACAACCTTGTCAATCAACTGAAATCCAATCTCTTCCCACTCTTACTAAGAACTAGGCATGGAGTCCACAACATTCAGGATATAATTGACTACGATATGGCCACCTTCAAAGAATGTACAGTAACAAATTATTAGATCCCTCGTGGTCGACCAAAGAAGTGGTTTGACAATGTACACTGTAAGGGAGGACTTCCACCACTTGAACCTGCATAATGTCAACCAACAGGATCTAGAGGCAAGTGGCGGGCTGCCATCAAGCCTTAACAACAGAGTTCAAGCACGTCTAACCCTCGGAAGACAGGAACGATAAACCAGATAGGGAGTGAGTGGATGGGTGAGTCATAGTCTAATACAAACAAACCACCACTTAACCAGTGCCGCCCAAAATAATACTTCCTGTCTTGAGGCCACAAACAATCAACCAAGTACAAGTACACACCTTGTAACCTGATGCTTTCCTGATACTGAATGACAAAGAACTCTTGTTTCTGTTGCATGACTTGCAGGTCGTTCTCTGTTTCTTGTGTGAATTGTTTCAGGAGCTGGAAGGCCTCCGAGATTTTCCTGTTGGTTTCTGAGCGAGCCGTTACCTCTGCACTCATCCTCTCCTGGTTAAGCTAAGAAAAAAAGCGACCATAGTCAACTTACATTTGGCCTAGAAAATGACAAAGGCACTGCAGCTTACATGGTATTCTGTAATGATAGTCATTATGATGTATACCGGTTATCAACATTCTTTTCTGTGCAGCTTGAACTTATTCTCATTCCAGAGCATTTTCACTCCTTTGGAGGAAACCCTCCCTTGACTGACTCCATTCAGCTTAATACAAATATACATAATTAAAGTATTGAATATACTAGTGACAGTCAAAATAGAACACTGAATTTTCAAAACACTTTTCTTGCCTTACCCCAGTGGCCTGGTCCACCAATGCTTGTTCTGTTGCTATGCAGTGCTTGATGATGCGGACTAGATCAAGGGGGTTGTTGCCGTAATTTTTCTGTAAAGAAAGAAAAAAATTAAAACACCTCAAAAACATCTCTTATTTTTCACTGTTTGAGGTAGCTCAAAACTGCCCTTGTATTAAATATATAGTTATTACTGTAGAACCCTACTTTTCAGGATTTAATACTTAACTTCAAATGTGATTTATTACATCCTTCCTATAAGACTTAGTATACTTACTGTGAAGTGATCAGCGATTTCCTTCATCTTGAGTCTGAGCAGGAAGTCAGTATCAGACAACTGGTCGTACTTGTACTGGAGTTGTTTGATGAGAGCATCCAGGATCATCCTTGCCTTTCCCTCATGGCCACGGACATCTGGATCAATGTCTTGCCTGTGTACGCACAGAAATGAGTATGCTGGGCTCCAAGTACTTTTTTTTTTGCATGCCTGCACTGGTGCAGGTAACTATATCAATGTTAGCCTTATATGTTCATCCATCCATCTGTATGCAATAGATGTAGTGTAGCACCTCTGTAGAATGTGAAACTACATGTACTGCACTTAGCCCTCATGGGCATGAATGTACAAATAAACATCACTGTCCTTGAAAACTACAAAACACAAGAAGCTATGGTACCTGAGTACCATAAGCTTAAAATACATGTTGTATGTTACCAGTTTGGAAAAATTCTAGCCATTCCTCAGTAGTACACAAGCACTACAATTGCATGTATAGTAACATCTGTTTACCCTGAAAGATTACCAAGGAGATTAATATAATTATATAAAGGCTTCTCAAAGGCACCCATAAAGGCTTCAACAGTCCTTACAAATATCACCCTTACAACATTAAGAGACACAACAAAATTGGGCAGCATCAGGTTTCCCTGGCATGCTACTAGTACAGTATGTACTTCTCTACACCTGTGCTTTCTAAACAAAAGAGAATCATTCTGTTTTGGCAACATGTTTTGGCAACATAAAACAGCAAAAGGAACCTGCAATACCTAAGTTGTTTTTAACGTAAACATTAACATTTTATAAACATTCCATCGTCCCTTTATGGCAATATCTTTTATTGCCTGTCTTGTTCTAGCCTGAGTGTCAGCCTTTGTTAGCTTTCGTCCGCTACCCAAGGTCCGCTCCCCGCCAATCCGACCTTGGGTAGCGGACGAAAGCTAACAAGGCTGACACTCAGGCTAGTCTTGTTCTATATGTTGACAACATACTAGCTTGGATGCTAGACCCATAGCACACTGGGCCCAAAGTAATATTGTGTGCAAGGTTTTTCTTTTTTTACTTTGGGCCCAGTGTGCTATGGGTCTGGCATCCAGGCTAACTTAAATATACCAAAAGAAAGACTTTGACCCACCATGGTTGGTCTTCTATCCAGTGAGCGAAGTAGTGCCGAACTTCGATGGGGAAGTGTGTGCCGTACAGATTCTGCATCTGTTGGAGGGCGTCCCCCTGCAGTGTCTGTGCTTGGGCCCACAGCGCCATCTTGTAACGTGTAGTTTAAACAGTAGTGCTACCTGAAACACAAAGTTAACTATAAATCAGAGACTTCAGGGAAGGAATGTCACCTGGCTCCTGATACCACCCCTCATACAGTGTGTGTGTGAACTGGTTTATTTATTATATACAACACACATACCATTGCAGCCTTACATGGCTGAATTGGGGCATGATACACATTAAAATTTATCAAGAATGGTTCAGCAGCTCAACAATAAAAGGTAAAACACTATAGCTACTCTTCAACCTAGACGTCCTACAGCTTAACTGCGTGAAGTTGTCCTTTGATCTCAGTTCTATGCCATGCAGGCTTCCATGTGTTGGAGGTAGCCAACTAGAGAAGTTGGGAGATTTAGCTATTGACAGTGCATAATTCACACATTGGTGACGGCGTCTCAGAGACAAAGGTGTGAATGATTGATAGTTGCTCTGTCATAGCTAACATAGTTTCTACCTAGGATTATCCTACACGCCCTCTTCTGTACTGCTTCTAGTATGTACTTAGGGGACTGTAAACTAGTCAGACCTGGGTGCCACACTGGGCAGGCGTACTTTAGGTCTAACAAAGACTGTACAAAGCCACAGAATACAAGTACTAAGTCTTCCCCAACATCTGACTTTTTCAATGTTGCAGAAGAAAAATTAAGCAACCTGCAATTTTGCAGACTGAAATTAGGGCAGCGGTTCAATATTGTGTCTGTGTATGATATTGTTTAGGAGCTTTTGTCAATTTGTGTAGTGCAGTATTTGTGCCCCTTATTACCTTCGCCAAGAAGGTTATGTTTTCAGTAGCGTTTGTCTGTGTGTGTGTGGGTTTGTGTGTGTGTGTGTGTGTGGTTTAGCAAGATAACTCAAGAAGCAGTGGATGGATTGTAATGAAACTTGGTAGGTGGGTAGGTCTTCATGAGACCTAGAAATGATTAGATTTTGGGCCCCCTGGCGGCTTTCCTAGGTACTGCAGCTGAACTTCTGGTTTTGATATCTAATGTTCTGGACATGCTAGGGTCACGAATTTTGGTTGGTAGATAGCTCTTGGGGTAGGGAAGAAGTGACATGAGTTTGGGTCCCCTAGCGCATTGTTCTGGAACTGCAGGAGCATTTGTTGAAAAAAATTTGAAGGACGATAACTCAAGAACCGGTTGACGTATTGTCGTGATTTTTGGTATGTAGGTAGTTGAAGTGATGCTTGACATAATTAGATGGCAATTATGCAAATCAGGAGCTAATTTGCATGATTAATGAGGAAATTCTATAAATCTGCTTTGTTCGATAATAGAACTATGAAACACTTGTGACATCTACTTGAGAACGAGAAAAACATCCGAGGATATAGATTATGTAAATGAGGACCTAATTTGCATAATTAATGGCAAATTCTTATAATTCCATAGTTGTAACTGCTGCTCCCCGAATACTTGCCACAGTTGGAAGTTAAGTGAAGGTGAACACCAATAAACATAATTTATTCAAATCATGACCTCATTTGCATAATTTAAGTGGAAGTGCTATAATAGCCTTTTTGTTATGATAAGGCTGTCATTGGATGGAGAATATGATCAACAGATATAATCCATGCAAATGAGGCTCTTATTTACAATATCAATGATTAAAATTGTATAATTCGTCACCCGCAACGGTTAACATCATTTGGCGAAGGTATGAGATCGTGGAACTCTTGTTCTTAGTTTAACACATTTTAAAGAGACAAATGCTAATTGCATCTACTGTAACCATGTTGAAAAAGGGTGGTATAGAACTACAAGGATCTGTACTACCAGGCATATACCATTTTTGCACAGGGGAAATCAAATTATGTGTTATGTAACTTATGATGGTAATGTGTAATGTCAAGTACAATGTGTTGTGATCGTGTTTCCATATCCACCCCTTTTGACCCACTGACTGTGCTGTACAAAGTGCAATAAAGCTCGTGTTGAATTTATGATGTACCGCTTTTGTTGGTTTGTTTAAGCCTTTTGTTTATTCATGAAATACATTTAGGTCATGTCTCATGAGGTAAGGGGGCAGACAAAAAAGATCAAGGTACAGGTTACATGCTCAAAAGGCTTGTACCACTACTGTACACCCATGCAGACCCTACCCAAGCATTTCCTACGTGCATGTCAGTGAATACTTTCATGGGGATAAACTTTCTTTGAAAAGATACAAAAACATGTAACAAAAGACAAATTTTCTGTAGACCGTATCTATACCCCTATACTAAAACCACGTCTTGATTTTGATCTTCTTGATCTTGATGTCGTACTGCGTAACACCCCTCAGTTGGGGTCAAACACGCAGGGGGGGAGTGCACAGCGCTCTAAATACTCCTCAAGTGTAGCTGAACAGCTTCCTTAAACTTGTCGGCCTCTGGTACATGTATTTCTGGTACGGCCTGCGGAAGCTCGTTCCAGTCTCTAACAGTCCGTGGGAAATACGAATACCTATAGCAATCCTTGTGGAATGCTAGTGTCTTGTAGGAACTCGGGTTTGCGTGCCGCGATTTGCGCAGTGCGGACGAAAGCTGAGTAGCAACCGGTAGGGCAATTTCATTTTGTCTGGCTTTGTGTAAAATAGTTAGTCTACTGGATGTCCTTCTGTTCTGCAAAGTGTCCCACCCTAGGTCAGAAATAAGCACATAAATCATTTGACATTTGCTACAGTACTGAGGACAGCTGCCAGGAGGCCCACATTTCATCTTGACTTTTCTTCTGAAAGAAATTTAAGTCACATTGGTCTTGATGACCTACCCAAATACCATCCAAGCCTTCTGTTATGCTAACCACATATGTGCAGAAACAAACACACACAAACTCACAAATACACACACACTGGCCAAAAACAAATCCTACCTCCATATTTTTTCAAGTTTTGATGAATTATTATTGCCCTTAAAATGATCAAGAGGCTGCAATAATACTCGAGATATTCGAGTATCGTGCATGGTGATGTATAAAAAACGAGCTGACGCTATTTATGCTTGTGTGATCATAACAAGAATCATATTTTGCCCACATGTTTACGTCAAAAATGAAAGCAGAAGGGGGAGGGGCAGCAAACGTGGAGGACTTACTTGTTGCTTCTGAAACCACCGGAGGCTCTCTCGCCGTCTCCCCTTGACTATCTCGGAACACAGGACTGAGTAAAACTCACCACAGTGCTAGCGCCGGAAAAAACGCATTCCAAGGCCTAGCAACGTGGTTTCCTTTTTCTCGGAACAAGAGGAAGTCGCCGCCAGACTGCGTCCGAAACTGCGTTCTGGGAAATAGGTCCCAGACAATTTGTAACCTGGACTACTATTGGTCGACTGCACAGGTGGATTTCTAAGCTGGGTTCTCATTGGTCAAATCTTCGCGTTAGCTGATGTTTTTGTAATGATTGCATATTGTTACATGCACGACTATTGGGTCGTTGTATAGGCGGTTTTATAAGGGCATGTTTTATTGGTTAAATCTTTGATGTTTTGCTGGTGATGATGTCATGTTCTCGGAAAGTCCATAGTTTGTGTGGGTTGAGATTTTGTAGTTTGTGGCGAGTTTTCGGGGAGAAAATGCGGATGAATCATACTCTTTATCATTCTTTTCATTGAAGTCGCCAAGATCAACAAGTTCCCTGCTCCCTTGCTAATTGATAGCCTCCTTCTTGCAACCTTAAATTGCAAATTATGACCTCTTTGGTTCAATTTTACGAACGTTAACGTTAACGTTACAAGGTGCTTGAAACGTTATAAGTTGAATATAAGTCGCCATAATTTATAAATCATTGTTATAATGTGAAATGTGAACACTAAACAAATTTGTGACATGAGGAGAAAAAATGTATCCTCGTCACCCCTTGAAATCAATGGACTGCTCCATTCACCTTTCACCTTTCCATTCACAGGTCGGCTCGGTAGGCTGTAGTTTTGGCGCCAAAATTACAAATTTTAGCTTCTAGCCCCGCTACATCAAGACGCTATCCTACTTTTACAGTATTTGCATTTGTGGTTGCTTGAACTATCAGAATTTACAAATACCGAGCTCTAGCAGGCTCGCAAGTCAACAACGGCGAAAAAAACTCCGCTTCCTACCGCCCCCCTCCCCACGCTACCCTGAAACAAGGAACATACAGTTATATAATTTTTGGATAGAATCAGCAATGTCAGTACTCTGGCTCGTGTTGTATTTGTTTCTGGCATCAGTGGCAATGGTAGCGTCAGTATGTGGTCCCGGAGATGGTCGTATAAAAGGTAGGTTGTCATTTATAAGTTATTTGTTTTTCATAAATTGAGGACAAAATATTGTCCTTGTGAATTATTGACTGATTAAGTTTAATTCGTTCTAGCATTACAAATATTAAACGGTTAATTGTTTTTCTTTACTGTACATTTTTAGTGTCTGCTAGGTACTCACAGTCACAACAAGGAGGTCAATTACTCAAATAAGGGGTATAAGTTACTAGTAACCTCCTTGCTCATGCTCATAAAGGACTAGAAAAGCTAAATTCAAAATTAAGAAAATAGACTAGAAAGGTAACATTTGCAAAGCAAATGCATAATGCTTACCTTTCCGTCTAGTCTAACAAACTACTGCTCTACTCAAACACATCCATCTATAATACATGGTGAGCAGCCACTCTAACTCTGTGCTGAGCACTACACATGTACATAATCATGTAAGCCAACACCACAGTCTGTCTGCTACAACCCCAGTTACCATGGTGACAGATGTCTGGTCCAGGTCATTGACTTTATTTGTTTTGAGAAGAAGAAGAAACAGCAAAAACGATATGTTTTCCTTCTGCGACTTTTCCTTCAGGTTGTAACGTTCCATAAAAATTAAAGCTTGATTATTGTATTTCCTTCTATTTCAGAGCTTAGCAAAAACACACCCAGTTATACCCTCCACACAGACGAATTCGAAGGGAACTTCCAGGTTTTCTGTTACAAAGGGGAGGCAGCAAGTCCCTTTTTACTGTGGAGCAGTGTGACGGTAAGTAACCAGGACTGTAATAAAAAAATAAATTATGTCTTTAGTTGGAGAGAAATTGAGGCTTTTTTATGGATACATATGTACTAACCTACTGTAGAATAGTGGTAGTGAAATAGATACTATATACTATATATTAGTCCACAAATTTTTTCTGCAGGTCAGAGTGAAGTCCCTAGATGGCGCTCCAACCCTTTACGTCGGTCACAACAAGTCTGAGGTGTGCGAGAAGCAGAACCAACAGAGCCTGATTCTCTATTGGCTGATGATCTCTCCTGACAAAGTCTCTCTTCCGCCCTTTGAGAAGTCGTGTATCGGAGTGGAGTATACCTCAACAACGCACATAGGGCTGGACAAGAAAGGTAAAAATTTCTTCCAAGTTCCAACAAATAACTTATTCAAAGGTTACGTATAGTATACAATGCAATCTCTGCAACACAGTACTGTGGTGCTGTAAAGGCATTTTAGCCTGGTTACCAAACCTTTTTTGACTAAAATTTTAGCTCGGAGCCTTACATCCACTCCGCAAATAGGATGTAGGACTTGGGAGCTAAAATAGGTTTGCAATGGCTATATTTTGGGGAGGGAAAAGGAGTTTTTTTGTGGTGTTCTAAGTTCATGGTTGAAGCGTTTTTGTAGTACATGTACAGCACAAATACATCACACATATTATGGTGTTATAAGACTAAGAGGTCATTATGAACCACTACGAAAATAAAATTGGCACAAAGGTTTCTGCATTCTTATTTACAGTAATAGACAATTTTGAGGCTTCTTGCTTGTGTCATAAAGATTAATTATCTATAATTTGAATCCCACTGCAACCATGTTGCAGTACAACATTGGCATGTCTAACTAACAGACATACAGAATATTCTCAAACATCATGTGAACGACATCATTTGGAAATCTCACCGTTTTCCTTTAAAAATGTCCTTTCATTTTTCTGTTTAGTGATCAATGTCTGGTTCCCAGCATGCCTTGTGTTTGGACTGGTCGTCTTCAGTCATGCTGCCACACTCAGCAGGTAAGACTGGTCCACTTCAGTTGTAGGGGGTTTTACGTCATCGTTCATTAGGTACATGTACATGTATTTGCCAAGCGAGATATCTTTAGATATCTTTGTTCCAACACAAGAAAGAAACTCGCTGACTCTCTGGAAGTTAGAAACGTGATGACGTCAGGAGCGCATCAAAAGTGGCAGGAAGACAGTGTGCATCATTCATCTGACAAAGGTTGACGAGATTGACGTAAAATTTATGGTGAGTTTATGGTGTTGAAACAAAGCTTAAACTCTATAACTATTGATTCTACCAACACAACTGAGCTTTCAGTCAAATGAGAGGATCTTCTATGTTCCAGGAATGTGCTGTTTTACTACTCATCAGGCATTACTGTTGGTGTGTTGGCCTCTCTCCTGATTCTGGTCTACATGCTCAGTAAGTTAGTGCCCAAGGTAAGTATACACAATACTACAGTACTGAAAGATTATAATGAAATATTATTTAAGATGAAAAAGGATTTGGTTATTTGGTTCATCGCAAAAGGTTTACATTGGAACCATTTCTAACCAAATGACATTTTGCACAAACACATTGTTCCTTTCTCTGGCAGAAAAGCGGGGCGTTTGTACTTCTAGCGGCAGGATGGTCCACAGCCCTGTACCTAATACAGCACATGTACCTGAACCTACAGTCCCTCCTACAGGAGTATCTACAGTATATCCTGGGGTACCTCACTGTGGCTGGTATCGTCAGCTTTGCTGTCTGTTACAGGTAAAACAGGAGGTCCAAGAATAGCAAAATTCTTTATTCACAGCCACCTGATAGTCAAGATAGTCAAAACTTTGATATTCAATCATCCACTAATCTGATGAAATCTGAAGAAGTCAGAGATTTAAGACTTCCAGGAAGTGTTTTGGTTTTTTATGTTTACCGAAGGAAAATATACTATTTTTGCTACGTTTCCTTTTTCTTCTTCTTCTCCAAACAGTCACCTCTGACTTGACTGAACCAGACTGTCTCTCACCATCAGGCTTTTAGCTAGGATTTTTTTGGTGGGCGTCCATTTTTTTTATTGTATGCTATGCACAGTGAAGACATGCTGAGTGCAAGATTTTAGGGGGGCTTTTTTGAAATTTACAATGCTCTCAAACACTACTTTCTGCATTTTCAGGTGTAAATTTGAGTTTTTTTCCTTCAGTAAACCATCATTTTTGTATTTATAGTAAGGCTAAATGGAGGCATGTGTGCATGGCAAGGGTTGGGAGTGGAAAAAATAGGGCGTCTTTAGGGTGTCCTACAAAAAAGTAGGGCGTCCAATTTCTTATTATTTTCAGTACAGGGCGTCCAAAAGACACCCTGGACACCCCCTAGCTAAAAGCCTGCTCACCATGGCAACTGGTGTTGGGTTACATAATGTTGCAGTTTTATAGTAGGAGGGATTTAGACTCCTGTCACCAAATATGTGAATGTCTTTGAGTAAGAATTAACAGAGCAGGCCATATGCGAAGGCAAACATCATGCATTTGCTTTGCAAATGTTACTTTTCTAGTTTTAATATATTGGAACTGTATGATATAATATACATAATAATAATATACATGAATTGGCATTATGACACTTACTGAATTCTGGCAGGTGGCCTTCTTGGGTAGGTTGCTTAATGCTAGTGCCTTGTTGTTATGACCAGGTGGGCAGCTTGAAGAGATGATTGCTTGGTCAGGTTCGACTGCACAAGTAATACGAATATGTCATTCTATAGGTACGGACCAGTGACCAATGAGAGGAGTTTAGACTTGATCAAGTGGGGGATACAGCTGATAGGTCTGACATTTGTGTACAACGGAACACAGCTCCCTGCAGCTTCACTCACCATCATTCTACTGGCTGTACTCTGGGCAAATATACCAGAAAGACTTGTACAGGGACTGAGGTTCTATTGGTAAGTGGCTGGTGTGAATGTTGTAGTATAAGTAGTTGCATTTTCATGTCAGTTCTAACCTGTTAATGATCAGCTATTTTGAGACCTACAAGAATCTCTCAATTAATGACCACCAAGAAATCAAGTCTGAAATGTAAGACATATCAAGACTCAATAGAGTTGTAACTTCTCAAAGTCTCAAACAAACCTGGCCCCTGCAGTTCCGTAAAAGCTGCAAGGGGGCCCAAACCTATGCTTCTATGAAGGGCAACTTTTGAGGTACGTACAATATATAGAAAGTAACAAATAAATACATATTGCTGTTAAGAAATTAACCATAAAAAATTTTTGTTTGAATTGTAGCTGACTGACAATAATCACATCACAAGTTATCCTGATATTTGATTAAACAGACTTTTTGAAAAATTTTCCATCCCATCAGGAGGACCTGGTTCCCACAGAAGATTCGCCGTCTGACCCAAGAAGAATACGAACAGCAAGCGAAGGAGGAAACACGGCGGGCGCTGGAACAGCTGAGACAGTACTGTAACAGTCCTGACTGTAACACCTGGAAAACTGTCAGCAGACTGGAGAAATGCTCTCCTGTAAGGTACGGATTCAGCCAGTAGCTTCCCCCAACTTTGCTCACAACCAAGCCCAGTGCGGAGTTGATAGTAGCCTGGAAGCTAACCTATTATAGCTCCATTTTGCTCCTCTGTCGTCCATCCAAGCAGATCTATGACATTCCCAACTTTGAATTTTCAAGAGTCTTTATCATCTGGCTGAGACTACTTTTGAGGACGAGTAGAACACCTAGCCAACCAACTCCCAACCAAAGATGCCACGGCTTACCCCAACTATGGTCTGGAGAAGGTCGGGAGATTGGCTAGCTATTTGTGACAGGGGCTTAACACTTTTGCATGTTACATGGTACATTTTAAACCTGTACAAGTGTATCTGTATCTGTTACAGTATAGCCAGTATAACTGCCTTTGGCGTAACACACAAGTTTTGCAGGCACACAGCACGGCGGCAGCTGGTTACATTACACCGACCAAAGTGACCTCTACATAAGGACCAATGTGGCCACTTTTTGGTGGCCAAATAGCTATGCATGGTCTCTTACTTGATTTTTTATTTATATGCTTCATAGGTGGAAAAGGTCAGAAATATTTTCTTGTTTGCTTGTTTTTCAGGTTTGCCAAGTTTGTAGAGGGTGACAGTCACCTCTCGGAGGAGGAAGTCTGTGCCTATGATTCAGAAGTCTCGTTTGAATTTCCAATGGAGGATAGTTTTGAAGAAGATGAATCCTTTGTTAGCAGCAACACATAACCCTAGTTGTTATTCTTACACACCGAACAAAAACAACACATCTAGAGATCTACATGTGTATGCCTGACAGTAAAATTTGAACAGTTACCTATACCTGTGAAGTTATCTTCCTATGCCTTTATGCTTAGGTCTGGACCTAAATGCTTAGGTCCATACCTAAGCATTTGGTGTACCTGTATCTTTATCTGAACAAAATATAACACTAGTGAAGACTATTCTCTACTCCAAAGATACATAGATTGTATCTAAAAGATTACAATTTAGTACTTGAAAATCAGGGAATTCTAAATACCCTTATTATTATTAGTGCCATACTCATTCTATGTTTGCAAATCATTTAATTGGAGCTTTCTTAGACTATCAAAAAAGTCTGTGCTTCATTTAAGGCATTTAGAAAATTTTTATTTTGGTGTTGCGTATTTCATTACCTGAACCACACAAAATGCCCCAAACTATGACTGGCAGCTAGTAGTTAACAAATTTGAATGACAAAATATGAACGGTCTATAAATATTACAAATATGCATTCAACTATGTTTGATTCATTTCATATTTTAATTGTTCTTCTAAGCATAAAAGTTTGAGATAAAGAATAAAGATTAAAGTTAAAAGTGAAAATAGATTTTAGTCATATTCTTTTGTAATGATGATTGCAATAAAGTTACATTGTTACCATATTTTATAGTCCTAATTTTTTAGGGTGGGGACTATTATACAATTCATGTACAACAATTGTATTGTCAACATTCGTTACAGTGTTCCCGCCAAATCACTAGCACACATTGTCTGGTAGTGGCACAGAATAGAAAAGCAAAGAAATGTGCAAATGTTGTCCTCACATTTTTTACCAATCCCGAAGTCGCAAAAAGCATGAATCTGGAGAAAAACGTCAACAACGTGGTTGAAATTCCGCACATCGGGATGGCTAACATACAAACGCCCGGTACGGTTTGAATGGCGCCCAGTCGGAGTCAAGTACCGGTTGTGAGAGGGTTTAAAGTATTTCTTGTTTTAAAGACCCATTAGTGAACCCTTTTGTACTGTTGGTCGGCGCACGGGTTAGCGTTATTTGAGCTGTGTACCGGCACAGGTCAATGACGCCACCGGCGAGCGAGGGGATTTCTACCGTGTTTCCTCCTGAAACGGGCGGACAGTTTTGTGGTGAGTAGTAACTAGTATTCCGTACTTGTTACTTTCTTCCGTAAGGTTATGTCTTTGGCAGCGTGCGTATGTTTGGATGAGTATATGTATGTGGTTTACCATCATAATTTACTACAATTCAATAAGCTATGTTTGGATTGTCATGGAATTTGATATGTGGTACCGGGTCTTAATGAATGAAGTCCTTTATTGTGCATTTTCTATCAAGGAAATGATTATACTTTAATACATATAGCAAGGAGGTTATAACTTCCTTGGACTTTGGACAAAAATTTTTGCCCCCTAGTAGCTAGTATTCTGAACTTTTTTGTTATATTAATTAGCTGACACGGTGTAATGCTTACGTGTTGGGACACGTTGACAACACAGGGGACCCAAAACCTCTGAACTCTGAATGTATTTTCTTTTTTTATATCTGTACGTTTGTGTACAATCTGATAGAACAATTCAGGAGAATAGGCTAGGAGTCTGTATTTTGCTCTGATAGACGTCAGTTAAACTCTACAGTACATGTAGCGTGTACCGCAGCTACCGTCGTTTCAGATTAATTTCTAGTCCCTTGCTGTAGACAAAACCGTTTTCATTTGAAGCCGTGCGCTGTTTACCGAAGGTTTGACCCCTCACTTTATTTCAAGTACTCTCCAATGGCCCGGCGCTTGGTAACACGAGTAAACGCTGCATTAAAAATTAGAGCTGTGAACCCGAAGTTGTGTAAAGAAGCATGATGAGGAAATAATAATCCATGGATCGTGACTAATAGTTTTCTCGGAGTCCAAGTTGACATTTCCTGCTAAGCTCACGACAACTTCAAGGGACTAACCATTTTCCGGAATCCCAACCACATATTGAACCGGCCAGAAGTAGCCACACCCATACATATTGTCAAAGGGGTTACTTTTCAGTGGTTGTGCGTTTTATTTGCAGGTTCGTTGACTTTTTAAAACTTTACGGAAGTACTAGTATATACGCATTGTTTTCTGTGTATCTGTGTATTAGTACATTGTGCAATAACGTAAGAAGCTATGGGTGTATTGTTATGAATTTGGTAAATGGGTAAGTGTTGGAAACGAAGGTCAGGGTCGATTATGGGCACCCTAGTGGCTTTTCGTGGCATTGCAGCAGCAAATGTTTCTGTATCCTTCGTCCTGGACATGCTTTGGTCTTGATTCTTAATCAAATGAAGTTATGCTGTTCCCAATATGACAAATATGCTGTCAAATAGAATGAAAATGGTCTTGGTGACAGCAAAGATATCTATCAGATTTAATGATGATGAATGAAAGTCGCCTCCGGGTTAACGAATACAACAAAGACATAATCTCAGCGTTACATGCTTGACCTCTAACCCCTCCAAACAAATTAAGGGGGCATTTTGTCACTGATATATAAGCGGTACTGTTCTCTCTTAAGTGTGTTGTATATCCCTGACACAGACAGTCAACTTGACTGAATGTAGTATGAAGTATTTCCCCACGCCCATTTTTGTAGGTCAAAGGAGTTCACGTGAAGTCAGTATGGCGGCTGCTTCGACATCCGGGGCCGGTCGTTCCCGGGGTTCTGGGGTGATCCTCGTCCTCAGGGTTCTCTGCGTACTGACTGTGATCGTCTGTTATTTCTGTCAATCGTCAATACAGGTGAGCTAGACTGTTTGGAGCCTTTTTCTAACCCTGCCAGGGTAATGTATTGATAGGGTCATGCACATGTTCGTACATTGTGTCAAAGGGTGTCTGTTCAACTTGGAATGAAGGTTAGCAAATATTCTGTACCTGTGAAGTCGGTATAACCGCCCTTCGGCGTAAATATTTGCTGGAGATACCGTACACATGACACAGTCTGAACAAATTTGTATTTTCACCGACACTATGGATAAAACCACGTTGTTTTCTTGATCACGAAGGCAGGAAGCAAAGGAACGCGTTGAGTGGCGTTGGTAGGATAAGTGAGGGCGTGGCGTTCCAACGAACTCTTTATATACTAAGTACATAGAGCCTTGAAACACGACCATCAGAGAAACCATGTAGGTGGAAACATGTGATACAAACTCTGGAATAACAATTCTACTTCCACGTTCTCGTGAGATTTATTCTAAAGAACACAATGGCTCCTGTCCAGGATGAAGTTTAGATTGCAATGCTTGACCGGTCTTTCAAACAAAACACCAGATTTACTGAACACGCTTCACTACGTTCTGTCAACCCCCAGGCCGGCTCTGCATTCGTGGCCATGCAAGTATGACAGCCCGTAGGCGTTTTGAAATTCTTTTTGCCGAAACATTACACCAAACAATCTGTCAAAATTAACCCTTAACCGTACATATTCAACTCCAAAATGCAGTGCTAACCTTAGTACACAAGGAACGCCAAGAGTTTAAAGACAGTGACTAGAATTTCTTATTGGTTTAAGTAGGAAATTGGTTTATCATCCATTTATCATTTTATTTATTTATCCAGGGTTAGCATGTCACCATGTTTTCAAAGCTCCCTGCACAAAACATACCTTTAATACCAGAAAAAAATTTCCACGAGTTGGCTATCCGAATGACGTCCAGGCGTAAAGAATGTTCTCATATCAGCAATATGTAGTTTTTACGCAAGTCGCATGGATCGCTGTTGCACTGCCCTTCTAATGTTAAGTGTTTTACATACAGCATTACATCGACAGCCTCTGGATCTACCTAAGTCACCATGCCTTGTACCAAACGGTGTACTTTGAGACGTGGTTTGTCGTTTTCTGCTACTCCCTCATCGCCCTGGTGCCAGAGGCCATGGCGAAGGTCTCCTACTTCTCACAGTACCGACTGGAGCGGAGTTTGGTCCTGCCTCGCCCCTCCATTCCTGAACTCATGACCGAAGGAACCCTGTACATGCTACCGTTAGCTGCGCTCGACACAGTCATTGTCAAAAGGTAAACAAGACTGGCAATGAAAACACATTGCCATGGCGACGGTGGTTGCTGTTAGTGTTATTGTTTGCATGGTACTGCCATCATTTCATGATTTTGATGAAGACTTGGTACCTGTTAAATCTAGACAGATACAGTGCACTCCTACCCTGAGTGTATAGTGAATGAGCCCCGGGGTCACAGAAAGTAGGACCATCCGGGGCACAGAGGTCTTCCAAAGGGTTTCCAGGAATGTAGGCATAGATGTGGGTCAGAGAAATGCCTGTGGACATTCCATTCCTGTGGACAAAATGCCTGTACCATTCCTAGAATTCTTGCGAACTGCACACAATACTGTACCATTAGGCTCCTCCCAGAGACGTCGCCAAAAATTATCTGTAAGTGCACGTTGCATCGGTAATGATTGACCATATTATGGGATCGTCCGTAACACAGTCTTTTTACTTTATCATCAATATATATCCCTTTCTAAGAACTTCCTGTTGTTGCAAGGTTCCCAGGAGTACAAGAAGACGTCCTAGAAATGAAACGTCTTGACTGGATCCAGAGAACGAGAGCACTACCCAAGAGCGCCCCCACGCTGGGACAGATGGTATGGCAGGTAGCGGCCGCACTCATCATCTATGACGCAATGTTCTACGTCATACATTACAGTGTACACAGGTGGGCACGTGACATCAACTCCCTCTCTCTGTCATACATTTCTCGAACGATTAACCCCTAAATTATAAAACTAGTGCGATGTGAAAATTGATTTTGGCGTTCTATTACATTAGCATCATTTTAGCATTATTAGCAGAGTAAACATAAATATTGGGAAATATTTCCTCTTCTCCAAACACATAAGGTAAGACGTCTGTCAGCATGGTAACTAGTATTGGGTTACATCGTGTTGCAATTTTATAGCAGAAGGACTGAGACTCATGTCACCCATATACTAATATATGAATCTGTTTGAATAGGAATTAAAAGATCATACCATTTGCGAAGGTAGACATTAGGCTTTTGCTTTGCAAATGTTGCCTTTCTAGTTGTTTTTTTTTTTTGCAATGTACGGCATGCATTTGCTCATTTAGCAGGTGCTTGTACGATTTACAGTTTCGTCGAAAACGTATTTTTAACGAACAAAAATATATAATCAAAATAATCAGGCCTAATGCTCTTAAAACAGGAACGCTTTTCTGTACAAGACTATCCACGCGCACCACCACGACCACCCCGGAGGCCTGCACGGCCGCGTCACCAACCGTCTGACCGTGGCAGAACGTCTGGCCCTGGTCCTGTCTGCCAACTTCTCCCTCAGACTGGTGTCCGCACATCCACTCAGCAGGACCGTCTTCATCATAGTCTTCATAGGGCTGCTGGTGGAAAACCACGCAGGGTAAAGCTCTGGTTATCTATCCCTAATCTCCAAGCAGATCTTTCGGTGGCAAGACAGTATCCATTGCCCAGAGGAGTGTCCTTTAGCCACCTTCGGTTGGCTAATGGATACAGGATGGTCAATGGATACAGGACGGCCAATGGATACAGGATGGCCAATGGATACTGTCTTTTGCCACCCAACCGAAAGATCTGCTTGGAGATTAATTTATCCCATTTATTTAGTACTGAAAAGTATATTGTCGTTAAAAAAACGTGCTAACTACATTTACATGGGATAGCTATAGGTAGAAAATTCGATCCCATGATACCAGCAAGAGTTACAACACTCTAAACAGTCTATATGGTGAATTAATGGGATAGCACCTTTGCTATCCCATTAATTTACCAGAGAGAGATTTACAATTTCTCTATATGGTGAATCAATGAGATAGCAGGGGTACTATCCCATTAATTTACTAGACTGAGAGATTCAGAATTTCTCTATATGGTGAATTAATGGGATAGCACCCACCTCTGCTATCCCATTAATTTGAACAAAACGATTACTCATACAAGTGTATGACGTAACTTACTCCGCTATTACACCATGGCTGTTGACAAAATGTCTTATGAAGACTTGTGCATGAAAAGTTCTAACACGAAAAGTGACATAAATAGATTGTAACGCGTTCACAGATTTGACCTGCCTTGGAGCTATGACAAGATCATTCCATTTGGTGTCATGGGAGGGGCAGCACGACACCACGCTCATCACGTGTACGGAGCTCGTCAGTACCAACCCTTCTTTACCTACATCGACAACTACATGGAACAGTCCAAACAACAGCCCAGAGTAACACATAACAACTTATGATGGCAGTGTTGTTAACAGGTTATCCCATTAAAACGTTAAGGGTGTTTTTTAATCATTTTGGAGTGTTCCTTTACTCCAAATTTGTGGGCTTCTGAGGCTTCTTTCATATCCTTGACACACACATTGACAACACGACATTAGCTAGATTATTCTTATGCCATTTCTAACAAAGAGAAGAAGAGGTACGAAATAGCAGTAGAAATGTAAGAGTGAAAAACAAAACAGTCAAGAAAATGCAGTCTTCGGAAATAATTATTTTTATAGTTTAATAGAACTGCTATAATTTGGGATCTAACTGTTGGCAACCACTCCAGAGAGTATGGCGAGTCTACTGGAGCATTAGATCCATTTTGGGAGAGACTAATATTCTGATGGTTGACAGCAACGTCGTAGGGGTGTCCTGAATGTATGACAGGGCTTTAGCTGTGCAACACAGTGTTTTACCTGTGTGTCAATATTATGTTGGATACGACTTAAGTTGGCGAGTCATCATGACATGAATACAGTGCCGTGTTCTTTACATATAGTCAGAGCTACGTACATGTATACGAAGCGTATCTGTGACAAAATTCCATCGTTGACCAAAGTTGGAAAGTCTTTGGCCAGGAAAAGCCACGTGTACGCTCTACTTTGCAAGAAAATATCAGAGGATTGATTTTAACGCTTAAATGGGACCAGGGGCTGTGTCTATTATCATTCGTATACTTGACATACACTGTGCCATTAAATGTTTGCTATGTTTCCAAGTGCCAGGCATCTTGGTAAGAGACTTCTTAGTGGAACAGTAACGTCTTATACTCTGAACGTAAGGAACCACACCCTTAAGTAAAGACATGTACGAAGGATGACCAATAGCCCCCTGTACAGATCCTATTAGTAGTTTCACAAGCAAACATCACGCGCCAAACAGTCCAAAGTTCGAGCTTCTGTGGAAGCGACACCTGGTCACAACTTAGCTTATCAGGAACAAGTGGTCTACAAGACCCGGTTCAAAATGGTCGACTTCGACGGCGCTCTTGAGTATCTCGGTGCGTTTGGAAAGTATCAAAAACTCATCTACTGTCTAACATGCGTTCTGACGCTGCCGGTGTCGTTTCACATGCTTGCTATGACGTTTTTGGACGCCAAGGTGGCGTTCCATTGTAACGTCCCTGAGATACGTCACGCCGAGCCTGGGACAGAGAACTACAGCTGTGCGCTGAACTATTCCATACCATGGGAACAAGACAGAGAGACCAAAGAATGGAAAGTATCGGGCTGCAGCAGGTAGGTACATTTCTCCACGATACAAATTACAACTGTGATACCCTGACATACTCATATGTAACGGCCTGTAAGTTTTTAAGCCTAACGTAAACATATTACATGTGCAACCTTTGAATAACGTCCCATCCTAAGGACAAAAGTAGCAGGATGATCCGGTACTGTATTCAGAACCGTGTCTATCTAGTTCTACTAGGTAATCCAGACTGGGTTACGGTTAGGATCGGGCACGGTTCTGAATTACGAGAACGCTCTGGATTTTAGAAACGCAGATTTGCCCCAAGCACGGTTCTGGATACGCGTGGACTATCCAAAACCGTGCTTAAGCATGGTTCTGGATAAAGCACGGTTCTGGATGCAACATCCGGGTTCAAGATAGTGTTGCATCATATGTCGCCCGTTTGTTGTTCAGAAGCGGGATCAACTCCTCACCAACTTTTCTGTCACTGTTCTAATCAACTTGCGTTCAAAATTTTCAAAGGAAAGAAAATTAAACCACGAGTCTTTACGACAAGTCGAGAAGCATACAAACAAATTAAAGATATCTGTAATGTACATTTTACAACCAATCATAAAAGTATAATATATCCGTAATATGTAATTGAATAATGTTTTTCATAATCGCTAACCCCTCTCCATGACCTCCCCTCTGTACCTCTCCATGTTCTTGATAAGATAGTCAAACTTTTGGCCCCCCGCTTTGTAAATATGGAGACGCCTGCAAATATTTGTTACACGCCCATTGAACTTTCGACCTAATAAACCCAAAATGTACCCCAAATGTTAGGCTGTCTCTTTTCTTCCATTTCATGTTTGGCTAAAATTCAGGGAAGGGGATTTGTTGTCGACGACGTTTCAATTTGGCTTTCCTTTTTAGCTATGTCATGATTGCATCAGAACGATGATTCCGCTTGTTTAAGGACAACACAGGGGCACGTTGGCATGTAATCATTAATGATCATTAATATATCTTTAAGTTGCTTAACGTCGACGTCCTACTCGTACGCATCAACATATATCAAACTTATGTCGTCTAGATTGGCGGGAAACTTGCCACGCAAGGAACAGTGGCATGTAAGGCGTTAGAGTAATACAAGCTTTGCCACTTTACATTACAAGTAGCCCAGAACACGTAATGATCAAGTTATGTAACATGGCCGGAAAACATCGCCACTAGTACTGCGACCTTAAGTTGCGCCCCATGTAGTGTGATTAATCATTGATTAAATATTTCAATGTGCACGTCACTCACTTTGTACTGTTTACTGAGCAAGCCGGCCATGACAAGTTGTAGTACATGTCTATATTTTCAACTCCCGTTATGCTTTGATAAGCTGCAAGAAGTGTAAATATAGAAGCAATGCTAATAGCTTTGATAGAAGGTTTAGTTAAAATGACTTTAAACGAGTTAACACAGCAAATGGTCTGTAGTAGTGTCATATTTTAACTTTCACCTTAGTTTTTGAATTTTATATCTGCTTGCGTTATTGTATGTTTATTATCGTAGTTGAGAGCTGTCCTGCTTAATAGTAATTTCAAAAACGTATGTATCAGCTTGGACGTAAATTTGGGCTATCTATCACAACGATGGACTATGACGATGCTTAATCAATCATGTTATTCTCTGTGGCAGATATGCCGTTACAAACGACAGCCTGGCAACGGTTGACTGTCCGTTTGATGCCGTGAATGCAACAGTCCTCGGCTACTTCGATGGTACGAACAGATCATCTTGTAACCATGGTTACTGGTACGACACGAGCCAGTATCACAGCAGCATCTTCACAGAGGTACGTCACGATATAGCCCAATGTGGGGCAAATGAATCTGTGCAATTTTCGCCATCCTGCATTTTACCTTTGCCAAGAAAGTTATATCAGCTATGCAAATCAGGTGGTAATTTCAACAATTGATTTTATAAATAAGGTGGCAAGGTGGTATTGTAGTAATTAGGGTTGAATCGGCTCAGAATCCGGAAGTCGTTTTAGAATTATCTTCTTGAAATAATTAACAAGCTTCCCATTTTTATAAGCTCCGCCCCCATGGAACCTGCTTTATCTGCCGAGGTTGCTTTGACCCAAACTGGCGCGAACCGGTTTAACGTTCCGCCCACTCTAATACTTGTTTGGTCGTTGACAGCAAATAGTTTTTAGTGTCAAGCTAGAGACGTGAAATACAGCGCTGGGTTGCGCGAGGTAGATTTTGTGTAGTCTTTATTTTAATTATTTCATCTGGTAACATGCGAAACTTCACATAACTAACAAAGATATGCAACCTTGCTTTTACGCCCTCTTACAAGATCATGGCTGTTATAGTAGGCGACAATGAGATGATTGTCATGTATTGTGAGTCCCAGTAAGCCTGCGCCATTTGCGCTAGCTGAGACGTTTGACCTGAGCTGGCCCCTTCCCCCTTTGTCTGCCACCTTGAGAAGCTAAGGTGCAAACGCAAACAATTTAAACGTCTGTCCGGTACCGGTGTTTGAAGTTATGTCACCCGGGAGAGTCTGTTTGAAGATCGATTACAAAGTTATATAGTTACAGTGCCATGTGCCAATTAGTTTTCTGGCACGAACTTAAAAAGGTTTATATCATAAGCAAACACAACCGTGACACCATAATCCTTTGCCGATTACGTGTATGTTTACAAGTTGTTTGTTTTGCTTTCCAGTTTGACCTGGTGTGTGACAGCAGTGAGTTGAACCAGTTCGCCCAGTCCATGTACATGGTGGGGGTGCTGATTGGAGCTGTTGGCTTCGGGCAGCTTTCGGACATGTACGTCACACCATGCTAAATTTTACTTACCCAAAATCTTATACATTTTAAGACTTGTAAGTCTCAAATCTCAAATCTGGTATTGAGTTACACGATCTTAAAGTACACAGCACAGTAAAGCTTTCCAACCAAGAAATACGTCTTAGGCCATGTTGATTTGATTATATGGATGACATCCTCCGGGAGCCCCAAAACTGATGCGCGCGTGCGAATAAAAAAAAAGTTGTGCAAAAAAAAAAGTTCTTTTCATTATGAAATCTACGTGGTCATGAGGGTTGAGCAAATGGCACAGAATATGGTTTGGCGAATAATCTAGTCTTCAAGTTCATTTCTTTACAATTTCGTCTTTTTTCGTTTGATTTTGGCATTCTACGACATTGGTATAGTTTTTATTAATTTTTTTGTAACTTATGGTATATTTTTGCTCATTTTGCAACTGTTTTGTACGATTTACAGTATGGTTGAAAACTTTCTTTTTTTTGGGAAACGGCCGAAAATTCATGCGCGCGCGGATGTCATCCATATAATGAAATCAACATGGCCTTATTGAGAATTCAGCAACTATACTTCTACAATATAAATGTAGAAGTACTTCTACACATATTGTTTTTAGTTTTATCCTGTAACTCTTCCGTCTTTCCCGACCATCTTACCCACTACAACCAGTTTGTTGCCACTAAGAGCTACATTAATATTGCAGGGAAGACAATGATCTTAGAGATGTAATCTTCAGTAAGTTCTCATCATAGTTATAACCATTAGTGATTAGTCCATTGATGCAGAATAATGCTCATATCTAAGTTCTGTGAAGACCTTTTGACATTTTTCTTCCATCCTATTTGCACACTGACTTGTAGGATTGGCAGAAAGAAGACCCTCTTCATCGGACTGTTCCTCCAGTTGGGATTCGGTGTTGCTGTGGCGTTTTCCCCGAATTATACATTCTTCGTCGTGTTCCGAGCTCTTGTCGGCGCCACTACGTCAGCTGTGTTCCTGCCAGGTTTTGTCATAGGTATGAAAGTCGCTCTGTCTAAACATTCCTTGGACAATGATTTGAGATTGATTTCGTATCTCTTATCATATCCTCAGACTGCCAAGATCAATTTTATTATTAAATACAGCTGCATGTCCTATCCATAACAATAAATGCCCATAGTTCCTCTTCGGTATTGCCAGTATGACTTTGCACATAGTCTTTGTGTCATTTGCAATTGTCTTTTACATACACCTAATGAAAGTCATTATCATAGTCTGCATAATGTATTGAGAAAAGTGTATACGAGTTTAAGAGCTAGCAATGCAATAGATTCTATGGCGCGTACATAAAATTTTCTTTTATTACATGTTTGCAATAGTGGTCATCATTACTCTCACAATTAACACAATTTAAAACAATTCCATCTTTATAATCCAGGAACAGAACTGGTGGCTCCCAGCATGAGAACATGGGCTGGAACTATCATCGAGATCTTCTTCGCCATTGGCTACATGCTGCTGGCACTCATAGCGTACTTCATCAGGGACTGGAGGACTTTACAACTTGTCATCAGTGTGCCAAACGCAGTCTTCCTCTTCGCCTATCCGTGAGTGGAAATCAATGCGAACATCATAGATAATTATAGAGCTAAATTTGTATTGATAGCCATGAATTAGGATATTTTAGCTCCAGCTTTTCCGCGTCAATATCGTGTTGAATATAGTTAAAAGTTGCGTATTTTGGTATCTAACGAATGCATCGTTCACGTTATTCCTTCGTTTACAGCTTGATCATCGAGTCTCCAAGATGGCTGCTGTCCAAAGGTCGTGACGAGGAAGTGGCCGCCATTATGCGGAGGGCAGCCAAGGTCAATGGGGTCACATTGCCAGATGAGGTCTTCACAACAAAGAAAGTTGAGGACAAGCAGGTATATATAAAGTTATATCTATATATCTACATATGTCTATTTCTATCTATATGTATCTTTTTCATAATCTGTATATAACTTTACTTCCATAATTTTCTTTGTACGTACATGTACTTCTGAAAACTAATTCATTTTTTTATGCAGCCTAAAGATGAGAAAACGCACACCATCATTGACCTGGTGCGGACACCCAACATGGCCAAAAAATCTGTACTGATTTTTTTCAACTGGTAAGGACTGAATCGCATCGATTTGAACATTTAACCGTTACAAGTGTGTGACTGACCTAGGGATTTTGCTCATAAGGCATCGTGTAATTTGGCATACGTCGTTGGTAAACAAGATGATAACAATGCAATTTAGGTGATTTCCTGCTGAACATGTGCTTTTATGAATAGTCATTGAGTACTCAGACTTTTCTCTAAACTAGAGTAGAGTAAGCATACTAAATACAAGGTTATAAAATGACAGTTGTCTCTCTTAGGTTGGTGATCACATTAGTGTATTACGGTCTGTCCCTCAACACCTCCAACCTGGGAGGAGACGACTACCTCAACTTCTTCATTGGCGGTGTGGTGGAAATACCAGCGTACATCTCGTCTATCTACATTGCTGACTGGTTTGGAAGGTAGAAATATTTCAGAAATAAAAATAAACAAGAGCAATGAGCAAATCTTTTCTTTAACTTCTAATGGGTCAATTCTGAAGGAGTACATGACTATGACCAGCTCAACTGGTTGTAATTTTTTCTTGCAGACCAAAGACACATGCCGGTTACATGATCATCGGAGCTGTGGGCTGTATAATATGTCCATTCCTCACGGCGCCCTACCTACCGGAACGTAAGTAATGTACTAATGGCTTGGTGTAAGGATACTCATTTGGGTATACTGGCTTTAATGGCTTAGTTGGACGAAGAGCCGTAGCAAGAAAGGATACATGCCATAATAACTGAATTGCAAGAATTGTAGCAAAATGTAGGTACCTTTCGTTGTAAGAAGAGTGGGCTGACTTGTATGGTGAGATGATTTCCATTATCCAGGTCTAAACGATAGCATTTAACACTGTTTTACAATATGTTGTTTCAGACCTGAATCCACTGTCCATCACCCTGGCCATGATTGGTAAGTTCGGCGTCACTGCCGGCTTCAACATCATCTACCTGTGGACAGCGGAGCTGTACCCAACTATGGTCAGGTATGGTCACCGATAGAAGGCTGATGAACACTGGTTCGCGGCTTTTCTTTATACAGTACATTGTGAAAAGATACAATCAGATATCATTGTTTGCTGGAACAAAGGATATTAGTTATTGCTTAACCAAAATCACATCAACATCAATCCAGAATCTATGTATTGATCACAATGTCTTATAGCTATAAAGCATACATAACTGACAGTGATAGCTTTAATTATATAACCATGGCCAAGTCAATAAGAAATGTTCTTTCAAAAGCAAATGATTTGTAAAACATCAGCTGTTCTTTGAAGGAAGCAGCACTCACAACATTTTTCACAATTTTCACAGGAATGTTGGCGTGGGAGCATCGTCCATGTTTGCCCGTCTCGGTGGGATCATCTCCCCGTATGTGGAGCTGTCCAAGAGCGTGTGGGGTCCTCTGCCCTATATCATCTTCGGAGCGCTGTCCTTTCTGGCCGCCCTGGCAGCGCTGCTTCTACCGGAGACGCTCGGTGCAGAGCTTCCGGTCACCCTGGAGGATGGGGAAAACTTCGGAAAGTGAGTACATCTAATTGATACAGACAAGGTGTCGTTTGAATAAAAATGTCTTTTGTTTCATTTTATTGGAGTGGGGGAGCAAGAAACGTTAGAATTTGAATTTAGAGCACAATTTGCTGTATCATTGTTACCTTACTAATAGGCTTTTTATATAAAATATGTCTTGATAACGCTGTGCATATCTCATATTTATCCAGGAAAAAGCCGAAACGAGCCAAGAGCTACGAGGCAAACGGAAGCAAAGAGAATCAGGCATACTCTCATGATACACTTGGACGTGCAGAAAACGGTTCTGTCTCTAAGAACATGGAGGTGACTTCACTGTGACTGGAGGGTCGCCACTAAAAAACAACGTTTTTCTCTTCCTCCATGTACTGGCCATATAAAAAGTCTAAGTCTAAGAAATATTGATCCTAGGTCTCATAAGATTCATGTGACCCTGACACACTTTCAGCATTGTAACTTTTATTATTGAAATAACGTTAAACATCAGCCATTGCATTAAGACACTTGTATTCTCGAGCGCTCTCCTTGTACATGCCGATAACATGCATGTAAATTGCATGGAACTATCAGCTTTTATCACCTTCCTTATCACGTACTGACACGGTAAATAAATTACTGAGGTAGCTGTACCAGTAGCTGTGTCATATGCAAATAATGATATTACCTTCGTCAAGGAAATTATCTACATAAATGTATATATTTTGAATCTTGAAAAATCAAATGTATGCAAACCACTAAGAGTCGACCTTTGCACTTAAAAGTTTATTGACAATCATATATGTACCACATCGTGCAAGTACATCACTATCATAATGACAAATTCAACACTTATTAAGGTTGAAATATTTGCAAGGGAAATACTTAATCAAAAGGGTTACAGACAAGGTGCCAACTTCAGTGTAAAATGTCGATTTTTAGAAAAGTCCATGATTAGATTGGTTATCCAACATAATATTATGTACTTATACTATAAAGTGTCATGTCGCTGTTTGATTGCAGCATTTATTTTTTCTCAATTCAGAAGCTTCACAGTGTCGCGTAAAGCTTCGTCAGAGGCTTATAGAAGCCATTACCTAAGCAAAGCCAAGGCTTGGGTATCAATACACATGGTCAGGTATCTATAGTAAACTGTAAATATTTTATGGGTCCGTCGGCAGATTATCATGCAATCAGTACAAAGTACGAGTACACGTGCAAGTGCACGTTGTAAAGGTCAGCGTGTCAGAAACTTAACACGGCTTCTCTACCGCCACTCCAAAATGGTCGACTTTGACGGCGCTCTTGTGTATCTGGGGGCTTTTGGAAAGTACCAAAAACTCATCTACTGCCTAACATGCGTTCTGACGTTGCCGGTATCTATGCACATGCTTGCGATGGCGTTTTTGGACGCCAGGGTGGCGTTCCATTGTAACGTCCCTGAGATACGTCACGCCGAGCCTGGGACAGAGAACTACAGCTGTGCGCTGAACTATTCCATACCATGGGAACAGGACAAAGAAACCAGAGAATGGCAAGTTTCCGGCTGTCAGAGGTACGTGTTGTTAGCAAGTGAATGGATTCAGATAAAGTCAGGGATTTAAGCTGTGTGTAACTGCAACTTGAAGAGAGACGAATGTACATTTCTTTTAGTTAGTTAGGTAGCTAGTGAACCAATGAATGAGGTACATATACATTTATTTATATACATTCTTTTTGAACTGATGACTGGTTTGGCGGCCCTGCATGTATTCTGCCAAATTGTGATCATAACAATGTCGATACATTTGTTCTCTTGCACTTCTCATAGGTATATCGTTGGAAATTCAAGCCTGGTGACAGTGGAATGCCCCTTTGATGCCATCAACGAAACGGCTCTCGGCTACTTCGATAGCGTGAACACGTCATCATGTAACCATGGTTACTGGTACGACACGAGCCAGTATCACAGCAGCATTTTCACTGAGGTATGCGAGCAAGTAGCTGCAACTGCAACTGCAACCAAAATAACTTAAAACCTAACTAAAAACAAGATATGGTATCATTTCAAAAACATATGCATGGAAACATCTGAATTCTTCATTGTTCAAGGGTATTTATTTTCCAACAGTACCTGTATGGCTAATAATGTTAGGAATATATTGATGATGTTTTGTTTGTTAACTAGAAGCCAGGGGAGGATTCATTCATTACGATGCACATGGATTTTGATCATTTGAAAAACAAATCTTGGGGAGATTGTTATTTTGATCTTGATCATTTTTGGGGATTAAGAAAAATAATTGATAACAATCACAATTAGAATTATGATAAGAAAACACTACAGGTGAGGCCAGATACCTTGTGTTTCTGTGGGACCCCCTACAAACTAGTAGTATAATTACTGTTAATGATACCATATATACATATACATAGCAAAAATACAATAGTATATACGAAAAGAGCTAACTATATGTATTGCAAAATTGCTGAAAACAATTACCATGCTACTTTTCATTCACACAACTTTCTAACGATAGACGTTCCTTTTTAATTATTTCTATCCAGTTTGACCTGGTTTGTGACAGCAGTGAGTTGAACCAGTTCGCCCAGTCCATGTTTATGGTAGGGGTGCTGATCGGAGCTGTTGGCTCAGGACAACTCTCAGATATGTACGTTATGTTTTCTAGAATACATATATACATATACTTATGCTGATGCAAGTACCGCATTTTACCCCAGCATTGAGTATTTCATTGGCAGCTTGATTGCAGTATGTTACCTACTGGTGTAGCTATGATTGCAAGGTTTTACTAAACATTGGTCCATATCACATCGATGCCAAGTTAATATCAATTTCAACACAATTTCTTTCATTCTGTGACAGGCACAATTTCTAATTAAAAAGTAAGCTAAATACAATCTAGATAAAACATTGTTTTTTTTTTATCAAATGTACAACTTGTATAATATCAATTCATCTTTTTATATCAATGTTGGTATCGTCTTAGGATAGGAAGGAAGAAAACCGTATTCCTGGGCATCTTGATCCAGCTCGTTTTCGGAGTAGCTGTTGCGTTCTCTCCCAACTATACGCTGTTCGTCGTCTTCCGAGCAATCGTCGGCGCCTCCACTTCTGCTGTGCTCCTGTCGTCTTTTGTGATAGGTAAATTATTGAACAAATTTCTATAAAACTTGTGAGGTGTTTCAGTGGAAATTATTTACTTCGAGAGTGACAGTATATTCACTATCTCCTGTATTGAATATTAGAGGTTCAGCCTAAGACGCTCATGATCAAGATGCGATAGAAATTTGTTTCATTCTTTGGCACACACACAGACACACGTAAAGAATACCTCAATTTGTCCTGGAGGTAATAACATTACCTACTGCACATATCCAGGAACAGAACTGGTGGCTCCCAGCATGAGAACATGGACAGGAACTCTCATTGAGATCTTTTTTGCCATTGGGTTTATGCTGCTGGCACTCATAGCGTACTTCATCAGGGACTGGAGGACTTTACAACTTGTCATCAGTGTACCAAACGCAGTCTTCCTCTTCGCCTATCCGTGAGTGGAATGAATTCTATTCTAAGACTATTGTAAAGTTTCAAGTATCTTATTTACAAGCAAGGTTTTGAAACAATTTATTCTTTAATTTGATCTCTTTCTTCAACTTAGATGGTTCCTACCTCTCCTGACTTATGTACATGTAAAATGCACAATATTCTATTCTGTGTCAGTAATGTCAAGAACAATGAATTACCGGTACACACGCTGCATTATTTTGTAGATTGATCATTGAGTCTCCAAGATGGCTGCTGTCCAAAGGTCGTGACGAGGAAGTGGCCGCCATTATACAAAAGGCAGCCAAGGTCAATGGGGTCACACTGCCTGATGAGGTTTTCACAACCAAGGACACCGATATTCAGAAGGTAAAGATATGAAATTATTGTGCAATAGTAGCTATATTTTCCTTTTATTAAATAACAAAATAGACAACATACAAGCGAAATAAAAGGCAATGGTAGTGTTGCATGCAGTTCACCCAAATCATACTGTTTTTGGAAATACTCTGACCAACACAGAAGATTTGAATATTAACCTAATTTGATGCAAAACACTCTTGATATAACATATAACGTTACATGTACTTGATCCAGTCACGGGTGTGTAAAAGACATTATGGATCATTGCTCTGCAACGATAATGAGAAATGTTTCAGTCGTTTTCTTTCTATCCTATTCTTGTCATTAGCCGAAGGGTGACAGAACATATACCGTGATCGACCTTGTGCGTACACCCAACATGGCGAAAAAGTCTCTGCTAATTTCTTTTAATTGGTGAGTCAAAATGACTTGATTTTGAGTCGTTTGACGTAAGCTGAACATTTCATGACGAAAGAGCCTTTATTTTTGATGTAACATGCCAGCAATGAATTAGATTAGATGGCCTGCATAGTCTTGATTGCAATGTAAAGTAGTATATACTAAATTTCGTACCCTAAAATTTATTCTCTGGAGGATCGTCCCTCTCCTTGTGCACCTTTGCACATCTGCATGTTTTATCATAATTGTAAAGTACATCCTTGCCTTGTCTTCCTTGCCTTGTTACAAAGCAAACATATATTTATTTGTATTGTACATGTGCATGACAGATTGACAGTTGAAGTGTTCAGTATACATTAGGGCAGACGCTTGAAAATATTTTAATTGTAGATTACTGGTTGCAATAGTAAACGCCAGCTGTATGTTAACGTATCTCGTGATTTTCAGGTTGGTGATTTCATTAGTGTACTACGGCCTGTCCCTCAACACCTCCAACCTTGGAGGAGACGACTACCTCAACTTCTTCATCAGCGGTGCGGTGGAAATACCAGCGTACATCTCGTCTGTCTATATAGTAGATACGTTTGGAAGGTAAGGAAAGATCATGTGTATTGGATCTTGGAACGAATGTCAAAGAAAAATGATTGGGGTCATAGAGCTGGTGCTTTTAGATACAGTCTATATCATAAGTCAACAAACATGAGAATTGTGAATATTTGGCTTCTTGGACAGCTTAATTCTATGCCTTGATTTTCTCTTATATGGTCATCATGGTTCTGGTATGGCGGAATGTCGATTAACGTATTGTTACAGACCAAAGACACATGCCGGTTACATGATCATCGGGGCTGTGGGCTGTATAATATGTCCATTCCTCACAGCGCCATACCTACCCGAACGTAAGTACAACCTCATTTAATGTCTAGATTCCAATTAAAATATGATAGAACACATTGATTGCATATTGATATGCCAGGGCTTTACTTTTATATATCCCTGAAGCAGTAATCCTCCTCATGTTGTTTCAGACCTGAACCCATTGTCCATTACCCTGGCCATGATTGGTAAGTTCGGCGTCACTGCTTGCTTCAACACTATCTTCATATGGACGGCGGAGCTGTATCCAACTATGGTCAGGTACATGCTGCAATAATATACATGTATTTGTCATACCACACATATGTAAGCAGCTAGCTTAGCTCCAATTATTGATCTTAATCGTTTACACTGTTTTAAGCTAGTTTAGGTTTTCAACTGTTGTTTTTGGCATGTTTTATTCCACAGGAATGTTGGCGTGGGAGCTTCGACCATGTTTGCCCGTGTAGGTGGGATCATCTCACCGTATATGGAATTTTCCAAGAGCGTGTGGGGTCCTCTGCCCTATATCATCTTCGGAGCGCTGTCCTTTCTGGCCGCCCTGGCAGCGCTGCTTCTACCGGAGACGCTCGGAGCAGAGCTTCCGGTCACCCTGGAGGATGGGGAAAACTTCGGAAAGTGAGTACATCAACAACAACGAAACTTTGTTATTTAAGGAACATCTTCAGAAAACACAATTTTCTGTATCATTGCCGGCGAACTAGAGCTTTTATAAGGTTTTGATAACGTTGTATATATCTACTATTCTAGGAGAAATCCAAAACGATCCGAGAGCTACGAAGTAAACGGCGAAGTGAATCAGGCGTACTCCCATGATTCACCTGGAAGTGCAGAAAATGGTTCTGTCTCAGAGAACATGGAGGTGACTTCCCTGTGAACAGAGGGTCGTCAGTCAGAGACAACGTTGTTCTCTTTCTCCATGTACTGGCCATTTAACAGAACATTAGGCCTCGTAAGATTTGTTGTTACCCTTGCAGCACTTAGGTTTGAACGTTGTAACTTTTATGATTAAAATAACGTAACATAACCCTCGTGTTAAAGCGCGTTTGTCAATAAAATGTAACTTTCGCTAAATCTGTTTTCTGTAAAAAGTCATGGAATTATCAGCTTTTGTTACCCTCCTTATCATGTACTGACACTGTAAATGAATTACTGATGTAGCCGCAAATGTATATTTCAAATGTTGAAAAATCAAATGTATGCAAACCCCTGAGAGTCGACTATTATATTTAAAAGTTTATTGATAATCATATATTTACACCACATCGAGCGAGTACATACCTGTGGTAAATTCAACATCTATTTAAAGTTGGGATATTTGCAAGAGAAATGCTTGCTTAAAATAGATGACCAGTACAAGTTTTATCCTTAGTCAAAAGTATTAGCGACAAGGAGTTAAATGTAAAATGTCGATGTCCATGATTAGATTTATTCTTTTAGACATAATGCAGTATACTTACACTATAAAGTGTCATGTCACTTTCTTATGTAAACATTGATTCTTCCTTAATTCAGAAGCTTCATTGTGTCACGTGACGCAATTGGCAGAGGCTTTTACAGAAGCCCTTACCTAGTACTGCAAGCACAATACAAGTGATTAATGGTTAATCATCTATAGAAAACTGTGCTTATGAAATCGGTTTCGTCGTCAGCTGATTATCATGCGATCATTTCAAAGTACAAAATGTTCATGCTCTAAAGATAAGCGTGTCTGGAACTGTACACGGCTTCTCTACAGCCACTTTTCTACAAGTCTTCCAAAATGGTTGACTTTGACGGCGCTCTTGAGTATCTGGGGGCTTTTGGAAAGTACCAAAAACTCATCTACTGTCTAACATGTGTTCTGACGTTACCGGTATCAATGCATATGCTTGCTATGACGTTCTTGGACGCCAGGGTGGCGTTCCATTGTAACGTCCCTGAGATACGTCACGCCGAGCCTGGGACAGAGAACTACAGCTGTGCGCTGAACTACTCCATACCATGGGAACAAGACAGAGAACCAAAAAAATGGAAACTATCTGGCTGTCAGAGGTACGTATTGTTAGCAATATACCCTTTTATTAATCAGAAAAAAAGAGCTTACAATAGAGGGTCCGTCGTCAGATTATTACATAGTCTGGTCCGGCCCCGAAACCGGGTCCACCATTTAATCAATTAAATCAATGTCATGGATCTAAGTTTTGTGTAACTGCAGCCTCAAGGTTGATGAATGTACATTTCCTTTGGTTATTTAGTGAACCATTGAATGAGTTACATATACATTTATTTATAAACATTTTTTACTAATTACTGGTTTGGCCCTATATATACCCTATCAAATTGCTATCATGATAATATTCATGCATCTGTTCTCGTACATTTTTCATAGGTATAGCGTTGATAATTCCAGCCTGTCGACAGTTAAATGCCCTTTTGATGCCATCAACGAAACAGCGCTCGGCTACTTTAATGGCACGAACACGTCATCATGTAACCATGGTTACTGGTACGACACGAGCCAGTATAACAGCAGCATCTTCACTGAGGTATGAGAGTAAATATTTGCAACTGAATTAACAACTTGATGGAACAAGCTATGGTATCATTTCAGAACCATCTCTGAATCCTTCATTGTTGGTGTATTTATGTCAACAGTACCTGTATGGCAAATGACACTAGGGATATATTGATGATGGTTTGTTTGTTACCTAGAAGCCAGAATGGGCCGTTCATTATTATGCAAATGAATTTTGAAAATTTAAAAGAAATGTGTATCTTGGGGAAATCCTCATTTTTATCTTGATCACTTTTTGAGGAATAAATAAAATATTTGATAAGAACGACAATGATAATCACACAGCTTTCTAACGATTAATGTTGTTTTTTTAATTAATTTTGTCCAGTTTGACCTGGTGTGTGACAGCAGTGAGTTGAACCAGTTCGCCCAGTCCATGTTTATGGTGGGGGTGCTGATCGGAGCTGTTGGCTCTGGACAACTTTCAGATATGTATGATATGTTTTCTAGAATACATATATACACATACTAATGCAAGTACCGCACCTTACCTCAGGTACCATGTGGCATTGAATATTCCATTGGCAGCTTGATGGCTATATGTTACCTTCTGGCATAGTAATGATTGTGAGGTTTTACCAATCATTGTTTCATATGTATGCCACACCAAAGCCTAGTGAATGATTTCAATTCCAACACAATGTTGTTACATTCTGTACAGTGGAGGACGATGGCACGATTTCCAATTGAAAAGTAAGGTACATACAATCTCAAGGAATCTGTTGTTTTTTAATCAAATGTACAACTATCATCATTTTTTAAATTTTAATCTTGGTATCGTTTCAGCGTGGGAAGGAAGAAAACCTTATTCCTGGGCATCTTGACCCAGCTTATTTTCGGAGTAGCTGTTGCGTTCTCTCCAACCTATACGCTGTTCGTCGTCTTCCGAGCATTTGTCGGCGCCTCTATTGCTGCTGTGCTTCTGCCATCCTTTGTGATAGGTGAAATATTGGAAAAATTTCTATAACACTTGTGAGGCGTCTCAGTCGAACTTATTTACTTGGAGAGTGACACTTCATCTACTATCACCTGTTTGGAATCCGATTCCAAACAGGTGATAGAAGATGAACTGTCACTCACATCTTGATAATGTGCAGCATCTAAGTTAGAGGTTCAGCCTAAGATGCACACGATCAAGATGTGACACAAATGACACACACACATAAACAAACCAAAAACAATATTAATACCTCAATTTTTCATGGAGGTAATAATAATACCTACTAGTACTACACATATCCAGGAGCAAAACACAATTCCATCTTAAAGTTTATAATCCAGGAACAGAACTGGTGGCTCCCAGCATGAGAACATGGGCAGGGACTCTAATCGAGATCTTCTTCGCCATTGGCTACATGCTGCTGGCACTCATAGCGTACTTCATCAGGGACTGGAGGACTTTACAACTTGTCATCAGTGTTCCAAATGCAGTCTTCCTCCTCGCTTATCCGTGAGTAGAAGGTTCCAAGACTATAAGAAATTTCAACACATCTTTATTTACGAGCAATTAAAAAAAATGAAAATATATATTCTTTGAAAATATATGTTCCTTGACCCTAGATATTTGTAAATCTCGACAAGCAAAATTAAAGGACACTACTGTATTATGACAATAAATTACCAGTATACCACACTGCATTTGTAGATTGATCATTGAGTCTCCAAGATGGCTGCTGTCCAAAGGTCGTGACGAGGAAGTGGCCGCCATTATACAAAAGGCAGCCAAGGTCAATGGGGTCACACTGCCTGATGAGGTTTTCACAACAAAGAATATCGATATTCAAAAGGTAAAGATATAAAACATTTTGTAGTAGGATAAGAAATACTCCAACAAAAGTTTTGGATAATCCAATTTCATTGAAAACACGCTTGTTATAACGTTACGTATTCAAACTTGATATAGTGACTAATGTGTAAAATAGACATTGTAGAATATTGCTTTGCAACGATAATGAAAACTATCCTTGTCGGTATTTTCTCTTTCCTAGTCTTGCTTTCAGCCAAAGGACAAGAGAACATATACCGTGATCGATCTTGTGAGGACCCCCAACATGGCGAAAAAATCTCTGCTAATTTCTTTGAATTGGTGAGTCAAAATGAATTGACTTTGACGTAACCTGAACATTTCATATGATGAAGGAGCCTGTAACATGCCAGCAGCAAATCAGGTTAGATGCGTAATCTTGATTGCAGTGCAATGTATTATATGCTAAATGTCATATCCTAAAAAGTTATTCTCGGAATAGACCATTGCACATCTGCATGTTGAATTGTATAGTACATTGCATCCTTGTCTGGGTACAAAGCAAACACATTGTAAATGTGCATATGGTACAGACAGTTTCATTGTTCAGTACATTAGTGCAGAAGCTTTAAGAGATTTAGCTGTTGTGGAGTACTTGTTGTGGTACTAAACGCCAGATGTATTTTGATGCATCTGGTGGTTTTTAGGCTGGTGATTGCATTAGTGTACTACGGTCTGTCCCTCAACACCTCCAACCTGGGAGGAGACGACTACCTTAACTTCTTCATCAGCGGTGCGGTGGAAATACCAGCGCACATCTCGTCTGTCTATATAGTAGATACCATTGGAAGGTAAGGACGTAATACTATTCAAACTTTAAACAAAAGATAAATTGTATTGGATCTTGGAATGTCAATGAAAATGATTGGGGGTCATAGATCTTGTGCTATTCGATTGGGTTTATATAAGTCAACAAAAATTGTGAATATTTGGCTTGTTGGTCAGTTTAATCTTATTCCTTAAACTTTCTATGATATTGTTAATGTTGTTTTTCTTCATCTAAAAAAATGAATCTGGCATATGGTGGATTGTTGATTCATTATCAACCTATTGTTACAGACCAAAGACACATGCCAGTTACATGATCATTGGAGCTGTGGGCTGTATAATATGTCCATTCCTCACGGTGCCCTACCTACCGGAACGTAAGTACAACTTGCTTGGATTGATTGTAATTAAAACTCTAAAGAGCACATTGCCATGCCAGGATTCTCAGAATATATATTTTCAGACACGGCTTAAGTGGTTAATAATATTCTCTGCATATTGTTTCAGATCTGAACCCACTGTCCATCACCCTGGCCATGATTGGTAAGTTCGGCGTCACTGCTTGCTTCAACACCATCTACATATGGACGGCGGAGCTGTACCCAACTACGGTCAGGTACAGGCTGCAACAATATATTTGTCATATATATATATATATATATATATATATATATATATATATATATATATATATATATATATATATATATGTGTGTGTGTGTGTGTGTGTGTGTGTGTGTGTGTGTGTGTGTGTGTGTGTGTACCCAGCTTAACAACAACTATTAATCATAATCGTTTTCGCCGCTCTTTCAGCTGTCATTCACATTCAGGGACAAGGCTGTTTTGATGCCATGATTAGTTTTTGTTTCGTTCAATAGGAATTTGGGTGTAGGAGTCGCGGCCATGTTTTCTCGTATAGGTGGCATCATCTCACCGTACATGGAATTGTCCAAGAGGGTGTGGGGTCCTCTACCCTATATCATCTTCGGAGCGCTGTCCTTTCTGGCCGCCCTGGCAGCGCTGCTTCTACCAGAGACCCTCGGAGCAGAGCTTCCGGTCACCCTGGAGGATGGGGAAAACTTCGGAAAGTGAGTACACCTACTTTGTGTAGACACAGTGCCGCTTGAATAAAATTGTTGTATCTTAGCAGTGGCTTGCCACTTGAAAGGATTGTCTCCATTTTTCGAAACTTGATAAATGCTTATTACGACATAATATTAATGATTCATTCTATTAAAAATGCACACAAAAGTAACTATTCATCAAACAGTTTGATATTTTGATAACACTGAACTCTTTGTTCGCCCAGGAAAAAGCAAACACGTTCTATGAGCTTCAAAGCAAACGGCAGCGATGTAAATCAACCATACTCCTATGGTACACTTGAAAGTCCAGAACCATGTTCTGTTTCAAACCACGAGTCATCAGAGACCATGGAGACTTCACTGTAAACAGGAGTTCGTCGTTCAGAGACAACATTATTCATTAACCTTTTTCTCTATAAACTGGCCTTTAAAAGTCCAGGGAACATTATTCTCGGTTAAGAAAGACTTGCGTTTAGACCTGTAAACCTTTATAAATGAAATGAAGTATCATTATCATTATTAGCTATTTCATCATGGTTACTTATAGAAGGATTTTATTGTTTCTTTTTGCGGTGGTCCGTTTCTCGTTTGCTTTGATGTCAATTTGCAAATGTTTCATGTTGCTTTGGTTACTTCAATGTTAAAGTTCCTCATCGCAAAGGCTACTCGAATTTCAAAACATAATCATCAAAAGCCTGCAGTAAACTTTAAAAACGGATGGTTATAAAGCATCCATATTGCATAAAGGATCGCCCTAATGATGAAAAAAGGATATCAATCATGTTAAATGGCAGCATTAATTAATTCCATGTAGTTTCACTGAGTCACATGTCTGAAGCATTGATCGCTAAACCTCTCATTTACATGAACGGCAAGTAACAACACTTCCCAATACAATAGGGCTTTTACAAACGCCCCTATACCCAATATACTTTAAGTACTATGATATAAGTTCTATCATTTGAAAACCAGTATTTGTTTGTTTATTTGTTTATTCGTTCGGCTGTTTAAAAAGACAGTTTGTACAGCCAGGGCAGCCCAACTAGCCAGGAGGCTATTATTAAGGGCTTGCCCTGTTGACAGGACAAACATTTACACGCACGATACAACAATACAATTATTTACATTAACGTGGAGAGGTCAGGGTCATACACCTAAGGCTTATAGGGGTCGCCTAGAGAGTCCCATAGCTTCCTTTTAAAGGAGGCAATAGTGGTGGCAGTGCGAGCGTCAGTGGAGAGAGTGTTCCAAAGTGACGTTGCTCGGTGAAAGAATGTTCTCTGGCCTCTGGTGGTTTTGGCAAGTTCAACAGTCAGGTGGTTGCTGTTCCTGAGGGGATAGCGGGACTCAGTAGCAGATGCACGGGTTCTGGGTAACAGGGTTTGGAGGTGTGGCGGACAGTGGCCGTTAAGGAGCTTGTACAGGGTGGTGACTGTGTGGAATCTCCGTCTGAACTGAAGTGATGGAAGGGACAGTTGGGTGTACAAGGTTTGGTAGGAGGGATAAGGAAGTCCATGTTGTCCACTGATCAGTCTGACAGTTTGGTATTGTACAGACTCCAGTTTCCGTTCGTCGCTCTTGGTGAGTCCCGCCCAGACGATGTTGGCATACTCAAGGCCAGGTCGTGTAATGGTCTTATATAGCCTGAGTAGGATGTCACTTGGCACCTTCTTTCTTAGTGCACATAGTAGGCCAGCAGATCGTCTTGACTTGGTGGAAATTGTATCGATGTGCTTGGACCAGGAGAGTGTGTTCGTTAAGGTGACACCTAGATGTTTGTAACTAGCAACAACTTCCAGGGTAGTTCCACCCAGAGTGACTGGTACAAGGGGCCTTGGGATGTTGCGAGTTGTGATGTACATCACCTTGCACTTATCCCTGTTTGCTTCGAGTTTCCACTGTGTGAGCCAGTTTGATACAGAGCACAGGTCTCTGTTAAGTGAGGTGACTACACGTTGGATCGATCTGTTACTGGTGGACAGTGAAGTATCATCAGCGAACAAGTTTGGAGAACACTGAGTACAACAGGATGTTATGTCGTTGATATACAGGATGAACAGGGTGGGCCCAAGAACGGACCCTTGGGGGACGCCGGCAAGGGGCGATTTCCATTCAGATGTTCCGCCCTGTATGACCACACGTTGTCGCCTTTCGGACAGATAACTGTGGAACCATTGGAGGATAGGTCCGCGTATTCCGTGGGCACATAGTTTGGCAAGGAGACCTTTGTGCCAGACCTTGTCAAATGCTTTCCTCAGGTCGAGGAAAACACACCCCACGACTTCCCCTCTGTCCATTGCCCTGGTCCATTCATCTACCAGGCGGGCCAGTTGAAGCGTGGTGTTGTCCTTGGTCCTGAATCCGCTCTGGTGCTGGGACAATATCGGAGTGATTTGTTGCATTAGGTGTTTATTTACTAGAGTTTCAACCAGTATACACACATTTAGTTATCTATATTAGCAAAAACTCATCTACACGTGTTCTGATGTTGCCGGTAGCTTGGCACATGCTTGCTATGGCGTTGTTGGATACGGTACACATCGTTTATCATCAGGGTATTACCAAATCAGTGCAAAGTTTACGCTCCAAAGGTCAGCGTGCCTGACCACTTTACACAGCCCCTTTTCAACGACTTTCCTACGTACATGTAGCTCCAAAATGGTCGACTTTGACGGCGCTCTTGAGTATCTCGGGGCTTTTGGGAAGTACCAAAAACTCATCTACAGTTTAACATGCGTTCTGACGCTGCCAGTAGCTTGGCACATGCTTGCTATGACGTTTTTGGACGCCAAGGTGGCGTTCCATTGTAACGTCCCTGAGATACGTCATGCCGGGCCGGGGACAGAGAACTACAGCTGTGCGCTGAACTATTCCATACCATGGGAACAAGAGAAAGAGACCAAAAAATGGAAACTATCTGGCTGTCAGAGGTACGTATTCTTAGCAATATACTTAGTCACAAGTTGTGGATCATAGTATTTAGTTGCATTGTTTACCAAATGCGTGTACATACACAAAGCACACAACCTGGATAGTTGCATTGATCTTTGACGGTACAAGCCATCACAATAAAGACAAAGTTCTTCGTTATTTCTCTTGGTTAGCTAGCTGACCACTGAGCCGGGTGTATAAACCTGCTTTGGCTTCCCCTTGGAATAAAGACGGTGAATGTTTAGGAGTTATGCACCCTGAAAAATTGTGTGCTCTTTTGTTCTTTTAGGTACAGCGTCAGTAACGCCAGCCTGGAGACAGCAGAATGTCCCTTTGATGCCATCAACGAAACAGCTCTCGGCTACTTTAATGGCGCAAACACGTCATCATGTAACCATGGTTACTGGTACGACACGAGCCAGTATCACAGCAGCATTTTCACTGAGGTACGACAAACTAACAGGGGTATCTGCATGAGATGGTCATTACAATGGCTTGAAAACGACACGTGATGAGAGTTGAAGAAACATGTTCGAACTCCTTATCACTGATGACGTTAGGAATGTCTTAACGGTGTTGACTTTTTGCTGATGATCAGTCATAAATAGAGATTTGTATGGGTCAATTGCTGCTTATCTTCCGTAACCATGTGACTATCTACAATGGTAGTGCTTTACTATCGTCTTATATGGGTATCCTTTTGTCAATTCTTATTGTTTAGTTTGACCTGGTGTGTGGCAGCAGTGAGTTGAACCAGTTCGCCCAGTCCATGTACATGGTGGGGGTGCTACTTGGAGCTGTTGTCTTCGGACAACTCTCAGATATGTACGATTTATAATCTATAATTTTGCATATTTCGCTTTACCATAGACATTATGTTGCATTGGATATCGTATTGGCAGCATGATTCCTGTACTCTAAATATAGTACCGGCATAAGAGCATACCAGTTATGACTCAGAGGCTTTACTAAATAAGGTCCATGGCCGTACCAATCCCAAGTGTATGGTTTCAACTACAACACAATTTTGTTTCCATTGCTAATTGCAAAGTACACCAAAATAATTTTAAAGCAGATGTTCTCTTTATCAAATGTACAACTATCAGTTTTATTTCTAATTCGATCCCCGCACTTTTTTTCAGCATGGGGAGAAAGAAAATCTTATTCCTGGGCATCTTGATCCAGCTCGTTTTCGGAGTAGCTGTTGCGTTCTCTCCCAACTATACGCTGTTCGTCGTCTTCCGAGCTTTTGTCGGCGCCTCTACTTCTGCTGTGTTCCTGCCATGTTTTGTGATAGGTACATTATCAATATTCAATAAATTTCATGAATTTTTTATGATTCTCAGTGGAACCCTTGTACTTGGCGTGTGTTAATTTGCTTGTTATTACCGGTCAGAAATTGTTGGGGCTCATTCTAAGTACAACTTTTTTTCACAATTGATTGACCAAATTAGGAATCTATGCATGATCAAGATGTGATATAAATGACAATGGCAATATTTGTTAAATATTCTAGGAACAGAACTAGTGGCTCCCAGCATGAGAACATGGGCTGGAACTATCATTGAGATCGTCTTCGCTATTGGTTACTTGTTCCTGACACTCATAGCGTACTTCATCAGGGACTGGAGGACTTTCCAACTTGTCATCAGTGTGCCAAACGCAGTCTTCCTCTTCGCTTATCCGTGAGCGATATTAGTTTATTTTGTGACACCTTATGATCATTATGAACTTCCGCCAAGGCTTTGCCATTATAATGTAACAGCAAACTTAAATCATATCGCTGTTTTAAGTCATATATTGATCCACTCTGTTTATTTATTTACAGGTTGGTTATTGAGTCTCCAAGATGGCTGCTGTCCAAAGGTCGTGACGAGGAAGTGGTCGCCATAATACGAAAGGCAGCCAAGGTCAATGGGGTCACACTGCCAGATGAGGTTTTCAAACACAATAAATCAGATATGGAAAAGGTAAAGATGTAAAAATGTGTGCGGTAGTACATGTACCTACCTTTTTCATCTGTACTAATGATTAGATGAAAAACACAGAAACGATAGAAGAACAAGGAGGATGCTGGATGTAGGTCATCCAATACTCCTTTGTTCGAAATACTCTCACTAACAAAAAATCTTTAAAAAGTGTTCATTTAATGTGACTTAACAACAGTGTATTATAATTAATATAACATCTAACGTTACAGATCCAAACTTGACATAGTGCCGGGTCATTGTGGAGTATTGCTGATTCTGATAATAAGATCTTTTGGTCGTTACAAACTATTTTCTCTTTGCAATTCTTGTTTTTAGTCAAAAGACGAGAGGACATACACTGTGATTGACCTTGTGCGGACACCCAACATGGCGAAAAAGTCT